GCAGGACAACCACAAAACCCCTTGCTTGTGCCCAGGGACAAGGGGGCAACCACAAAACTCCTGCCCTCAGGAGATGGGGACAGGGATTGTCATCCCAAATGACAGCTTTCCACCTTTGGGATCAGCTCTCGGAGGTCCCCAGCACTGCTGTGGGCTCAAACCCCTTCCCTTTGGGGCTGCTCTCCCCCTGGGCCAGCGGGATGTGGGGACACAGCTCCGAAGTCAAGAGAGGAGCCCAAACCCCCAGAGATTTACACCACAGCCACATAATGCCATGTTTTTCACAGTGTTTCCACTTCCCACAGGTGGGAACATCGCTCCCAACCTCTCCCTGAGCCTGAATCAGGGAGGGGAGGGCAACACAGGCTGGTCCAAGCCTGGACCAGCTTCTTCCAGCAGCACCTGTGGCATGCTCAGCATTCCTCCCACAGGATTGACATGTCTGAAATTGGATTTAGCTGTGATTTTCCCGGTGAAATCTCCCCTGGAAAAGAATGGCAGCACTCATTGATCTTAATTCTATCGGAGGAAGGAGTCTCAGGGCAGCTGGGTGCCAGGCAATGCCTTGGACAAAGAAAACCACAAAACATCTCCCCTGCTTTCTGGGAGCAGAATCCAGCTGGGCTCTGCAGGGATGTGGGTGGCAAAAGGGACACCTTTTTTTGGGGACCTTTTTTTGGTGACCCAATCTGATAGAAACCATCTCTGCAGCAGCTGGGGAAGTCCTGGGTGGCTGGGGCCGGACAAGGACTTTAAAAAAAGGAAATGGCACGAACGAGGTGTGAATTCAGTGGTTACCTCCGCGTCAGATGGAAAAGCTGACCCGACCACGCTTCAAAAGGGAGAAGAAATCAAACAAAGGCAGAAGAAGAAATCAAACAAATCCGTGTTAGAAACAGCCCTGACCTGACAAAGCAGCTCCGCTCCCGGGCTGACTTTGGCTGCCCCAGCCGCAGCAGCCGCCCCCGGGGGTTATTGATGGGCTGAGAGGGAAATGCATCGATAAAGCATCGATAAAGCATCGGCTGGAAAAGCAGCTCTGCCCCGGGGGCGAGCGGCATTCCCGGGCTGTCCCGGTGTGTCCCGGGCTGTCCCGGTGTATCCCGGGCTTTCTCTGTGTGTCCCGGTGTGTCCCGGGCTGTCCCAGACTGTCCCGGGCTGTCCCGGTTGTCCCAAGGAGTCCCAGACTGTGCCGGTGTGCTCCGGGCTGTCCTGGGGTGTTCTTGTGTGTCCCGGTTATCCCAGGGAGTCCCGGTGTGTCCCGGTTCGTCCCGCAGCCAGAGTTGGGAGTGCAGGCACGGAGCCCCCAAGAAACAGGGGAAGAAAGGGAGGAAAAAGATGTTTTCCAGCCCAGATAATTTCTGGGATCAGAGGACTTTTGGAGCCATCCCAGAGCAGAGACTCTGCCCATGTCCCATGCCCTTCTCTGCATCAAGCACTGATGAGCTGGGAATGTCATTCCCGGCCTTCTTTGCCTGCTGCATCCCGGAATTTTACCTCGGAGTCATTAAAAGGGATTTTCCCAGACCGATAAACCGTTTTGTTTTCCTTTCTTTTGTTTTCCAGGGAACATTTTCTACCCTTAGAGGGCCGTGTTTGCCCCAGCTGCAGCAGGAGCTCTGTGGTGCGTGGGGGTAGGAAGAGGGATGAGGGAAAAGATGGATCCAGCCAAGGGCTGGGCCAGAGCAGAGCCAGAGACATCTCTGCTCCCCCAGGAGGGATGAATTGGGAATTTGGGTGATGACAAAAGGTGCTCAGCTCTGCCAGACAAATACAAACCCCAATTATCTGCTCCCACCACCCTTGGAGCATCACCTGGCACCTCACTGTCATCCCACACAGCATCCCAAACAAGCTGAGGCTGATTTCTGGGAAGTGGCTTTGGAGAAGAGCAAATTCCCATTCCCCTTCCAGGAGCAGCATCCCAAGACAGTCCATGACACAGTCTCAAGCTGCCTCAAGGGAAATATAGGCTGGATATTAGGAAGAAGTTTATTACAGAAAGGGTGATAAAGTTCTGGAATGCTCTGCCCGGGGAGGTGGTGCAGTCCCCATCCCTGGGTGTGTTTAACAAAGCCTGGATGTGGCACTGGCTGCCAGGGTTGAGTTGAGGTGCTGGGGCTGGGCTGGACTCGATGATCTGGAGGGTCTCTTCCAGCCCAGTGATTCTGTGATTCTGTGCAGGGCTGTGTCCCCAGCGCCCCGGGATCCCTGGCATTCCCAGCGCAGCCCCCGCCTCTCCCCGCTGCTCCCCATCCTCCGCCAGCTGCCGGCAGCTGGGAAGCGCCCTGGGACCTGCAGGGGCTGGGGGGAGAAGGGGCTTTTTTGACAGCTGCAGCCAGGCAAAATCCACCAGGAATTCCCTCGCTGGCCTCTGCCTTTCCCAGCCCAGCACGGCCAAGAACATGAGCTGCAGCTTTGGCAGCAGGAGCGGGGAAGTGGAGCCACCTGCCCGTCCCCCCCCCGGCCCCCTGGGCCCCAAACACCCCCAAAAGCTGCACAGAGGAGTTTGTGTGCCTGATGCAACCAGGCAGAAGCTGTTTCTTTATGTTTTGGGGTTTTTCCTCTATAGTTTTATTTTCTCTATGGCTGGTATTTTTGGGGGTGAGAGGTAAAAGGGTTTTTGGTTGGTGGTCCCCCGGGCCAGGACATAAAACTGCAGGGCAGGGGGAGGACAGGGACCATGGGAGACCCTGCAGGATGCTGTGCCTGTCCCTTGACCCATCCAAAGGACATCCCCAAACCCTCTCACCTCCCCTGGAGCTCCCTCCACGAGGCCTGGACACAGCCTGCCCAGGGACCCAGGGCGCAGAGCCAAGCTTTGGGAACAGCCTGTCCATCAGCCCCAACGCTGGAGCTCAGGAAAATCCCAAGCCCATCGGTGCCAGAAGCACCGCCTGGGAGCACATTTTTCCTTTCCCAGGGCTGGGGAGGGGATGAGGGGATGAGTTTCACTTACCCTCTGTGCTTTGGGACGTGGCAGGGGCCAGGCCCTCCCCCTGGCTCTGGGGGAAGATCCCCCATAAAAGCAGCCGGGGCAGGCTGGCCCCAGCACAGGCGGCTCAGCCACTGCCACAGCCCGGCATGGGGACAGCCACCAGGATGGCCTGTGCCCTCCTCATCCTCTCCACGCTGTGCTGGCACAGCCTGGCTCAGAGTGAGCATTGCCCCGACCCCAGGGGCTGGGGGACGGGGACAGAACCCAGGGATGGGGAGAGAACCCAGGGATGGGGCAGGAACAGAACCCAGGGTTTGGGGATGGGGACAGAACCCAGGGATGGGGGATGGGGACAGAACCCAAGGATGGGGAGAGAACCCAGGGATCCCAGGGATGGGGACAGGGACAGAACCCAAGGTTTGGGGATGGGGACAGAAGCCAGGGGCTGTGGGTCAGGGACAGAACCTAGGGCTGGGGGAGAGGGACAGAACCCCGTGCTGTGGGATTGGGTTTTCTTCACGCACAGGGTGCAGGGGGATCCCCCCAAAGAGCTGCCATTGCCCTGGCAGGAGGGCTGAGGAGGGGCTGGGGGTCTCCAGGCTGAGCCAGGCTTGTGCTGTCCCCCAGGAGCTCCAGCCATGCCGGACAAGTGCTGCTTCAACTTCCAGACCAGAAGGATCAAGAGGGACAACGTGGTGGCCTGCTACCCCACCAGCCCCGAGTGCCCGCACCAGGCTGTGATGTGAGTAGCCCAAAGCCCCCCCTGCATCCTGCCACACCCCGTGCCTTGCTCTGGTGGGTCCAGTCCCGACCCCCTGTGCCCCTGAGCCCCTCAGCAGCTCAGTGTTGGGGTCCCCACTGACCCCAGCCTCTCTGTGCCCCAGCTTCAAGGTGAGGAACGGGAAGGAGATCTGCACCCAGGCCAGCAGGGCGTGGGTCAAGAGGTACCAGCAGAGCTTCCAAGTCAGCTCCTTCTCCATCCCCAGCTAGTGGGGTGGCTGGGGACAGCCGGGACTCCTCCTCGCGGGGGACACCACCGAGGCAGAGGGGACACTTCTGGATGGAGCAGCTCACAAGGGACATCCTCCCCATCACGATGGCCCTCACCACCTCCCCGAAGGCAAAGGGCCTTTGCCAGCCCAGCAGGATGGAGTGTCCAGACCCTCTGTGGTCCACGGAGAGGCTGCAGCAGGCGGGGGGTGAAGGGGGAGCAGCTCCACAGTTGTTTTTTGTCAACTCTGAACAGAATTAAACGTGATTCCCACATGAAAACATCTGTCTGTGCGAGTCTCTCGGGCCTGGGCAGATCCTGCTGCCAGCTTTCCTGCCCAGGTGTTGGGATCAGCAAGGAGCCAGGAGGAGCTGGAGCCTCAGCCAGGTCTCTGTGAGGGTGTCCAGGGGTGAGTGGGGCCAAACCAAACCCTCAAGGGCTTTGGGGAAGAACCAGAGGGACAACATGCTGGGAGGAGGGGGCTTCCTGTGCTCCTCATCCACCATCCTAATTAACAGCCCAAATTCCCTTAGAGGGGGATCTCAGGGATGCCTGAGCCAGCCCCAAACCCCAGGATGCCACCAGGAAATGTGATGGGTGCTGTGACAGTGGCAGAGGCACCATGCTGAGCAACCAGCAATGGGCGATGGAGAAACAAACCAGCCACCACCAAGCCACCACCCCAGAGTGAGCCGAGGCCCCAGAGCCAAAGGCAAGGAGTGGTTTTGGCACAGGAACTCACAAGTGTGAGCATCATCCTGTGCTGTTTGCTGGTGGCCACAACCCAGCCCAAAATAGACTCCCAGCCCAGCATCAGTGGCTGCTCCCACGCCCCTGAGCAGCCCTCGGCTGTCACGGTGGCCAAAGTGGCTGCCAGAAGGAATTTCCCCTCACCTCTCACCCCTCATGGAGAGATCCAAGTGGTTCTTTCCACAGGGAGGGTCCAAGGTGTCATGGAAAGCCTGGCAGGGCTGTTATAAATCACCCAGGGCTGCAGGCAGGAGGGCAGGCAGCTCCTGGTGGCCTGAGGAGAACCAGAGCTGCTGGTGCTGACAGAACCTCGGGGTGGACATGAAAATCTCCTTGGCCCTGCTCATCCTGCTGCTGGCAGCTGCCTGGACTGGAAGCCAGGGGATGTCCTGTAAGTACCAGCAGGGAGATTTTCCCTTCTGAGCTGTCCCAGCTCCTCCTCTGATGGGATTTGGGGCTGGGGAAGAAGAGGAGAGCTCAGCTCCTGATGGGGCTGTGGGGCATCAGCAGGTGCCTGAGCATGGGGCTGGCCTGGATTTGTTCAAAATGTGTAAAAATGGGGTTGGTTCAGCCCCAGAGTCCCAGCTGGGGGGCTCTACAGGCAGGGTGCTCCTACCCTGGGGCAGAGCATCACCCCTGGGGCTGCAAGATGCTCCCTTTGTGGGATGAGGGAGCAGGAGCAGAGCCCACACCCCTCGTGCCAGGACAGGGAGAGCACTGAACCCTCGCTCCTGCCCTCAGTCCGCAGGTCCAGAGCCAACTGCTGCTCCAAGGGAATGTTCTCCCATCGGAAAATCCCCGAGTTCAGGATCCGGGGCTACCTGCAAACAGCCCCCACCTGCACCCACAGGGCTGTTCTGTGAGTAACCCCAGCTCCCAGCCAGCCTTCCTCCCCTCCACCCCATCCTCACCCACCCTCCTTCACCACCAGCTGCTCTGCTTTTGGGGACTCCCCAAAAATGAGGCACCTGCGCAGGGTGCTGCAGGTGGGGCTGTCCTCACCTGGCTCTTCACACTCTCCTCCCTCCCTGCTTAACCCAAACAGCCCCAAACGGCCCCATTTGTGCTGCCAGCAGGCCAGGAGTCAGCCCTGGCAGGGAAAGGGGGGGCAGGATGCTGCAGGAACCCCTGGGGGGATCCTCCACTCCCAGGCTGACTCGGGATATTCTTTCCCCCCAAGTGTGAAGCTGCCAAAGGGGATGGTCTGTGTGGACCCAGAGGAGAAATGGCTCCAGGAGTACCTGAGGAAGCAGAAGGAGCCAAACAGCACCACCACGTGAAGCTGCCTTCCCCAAATCTCTATTTAATTTTACCCCATAATCCTCTGTGTGTTTTTGTGTCACTCATTAATTTAAGAGAGCTGGCTCTGTCCCCTCCCCTGCACTCAATAAACCCTCTTGTGGTCTAGCTGGAGTGAGATGTCAGTCCTGGGCAGAGAACGGGTCACAGCCAGGCTCAGCCTGGCCAGGAAGAGCCCAGGAAACCCAAAGGGCCCAGCTCCCCCCCAGGTGGAGCAGCCCTGCCCATGTGTGGGGTTCAAGGATGCCCTGGGCAGCGGCCCATGGGATGGGGAGAAATGGGAGAAGGATTCCCTCTGAGGTGTTTGAGGGTGTTTGAGGGTGTTTAGGGTTGGGTTGGCTCGGTCCCTGGGGAGCAGCACTGGTGGCAGCCCCAGCTGGGTGTCACTGCCTTCCCCACCACCCCTGGGCCACCAGCCAGCTTGTCACCCAAACAGGGCACCCGTCCAAGCCATGGGCAGGCAGTTTCTCCAGAAAAAAAAAGCTGCATTGTTCACTTCCCTCTTAGTTTGTGACTCACTTGAATCATCTTTTTGATGAGCTAAGACGTGCCTCACTCTTAAAGATACCTTTATACACATTGCCAGATTTGTTGCCATTTATCTGCTCCCATTTAGGGAATTTTTTGCACAAATCAATGACTAATTTTGTACAATCAATGACCAATGGACAATCAATCTGCCACAATGCCCACAGGACTACATCACCTGGAACTGGTCTGGAATTAGAAGGAATATTCTTGCCTAGGACTGTATAACTGCAATTCTCAATTTTTGCAGAGAAAATTAGAGTTAACCAGACTTTTCTAGTTGTTCTTTGGTGCTGGAAATCCCAGGATCCAGCAGAATATTTGGGATGTTTGAAGGATAGGGCAGGAACTGGTTCTCTAAACCACAGAAGCATTGAGGAAAAGACCTTTAAGGTCAAGTCCAAGTGTTAAGCCAGCACCAAACCACATCCCCAGGTGACACATCTTTGGAACGCCCCCAGGGGTGGGGATCCCACCCAAATGCCACATTCACCCTGAGAATCTGACTCAGAGATGGAGCCCACACAGAGGTGCCAGATGATGAAGCACTGAACCACTCGGGGATGAAAGATTGCCAAGGCTGGGGCTGAGGGCCACCAGCTCGGTGTCCCCGTGGCCCTGGTGGTGCTGGGTGGCAGGAGAGTGGCAGGCATGATGCTTCAGGGTTTGGCTTTTGTATTTTTCAGGTTCTGTGCTGCTTTAGTGTGTGGGTCTGGGCTTCATATCAGGGGATGGTGAGCTCTCTGCTCAGAGCAGGGAGACAAAACAATTCCTGCTCTAGCTGGGCACCAAGGACAAATGATCCAAATCTCAGCCCAAGAGTATAAATAATGGTGAATTGAAGAGAGAAAAACAAGAGGGATGGGAGTGCAGGGGCTAAATCTGGAATTGGACAATGAACTGCAATGTGCACATGGAGCAGAGCTGATCCCAGGGAGAGACCCCGTGAGCGCTCGTGCATTTTGGGACCATTTGGGTTCTTCTTGGGTGCAGCCCTGGCTGGGCTCTTGTGCTGCCCCAGGTGCATCCATGGAGGAGATCCTTTTAATAAATCCCTGCTTTATTCTTTAACTCCATCTAGAGACTGTTCTAGCTCAGCCTTCCCAAGGCATCAGGCACATGTGGCTGCAGTGCCAAATCACCCCCCTGTTGCTGGATTTCATCCCCCACTGATCCCAGTAAAGGTGGGGATTAAATGTGTGAGATGGTATCTTTTGTTCAGACTTAGATGTTTATTAATTCTTATTTATTTTACAGTCTCTCAAACTGTGAGTTCTACAGCACTAAAAATGAACTAAATGGAGAGTCGAAAATAAACTAAAAATGGAGCTGTATCTCTCTCTACAAGGCTTTTTAAGGAAAAACTGTCTAATTAAGAGATGATACTTAAATTACTTTTACTTTTAACATAGTAACTAATTACTTGTGGGCCTCAATGGGGATTTTTAAATTGAATTATGCAACACCACTCAAACCTATGAAGAAGAAGGTGAAGAAGGAGGACTAGCTTTTGCCTTGAAACTTCTATTTTGTTTTATATATATTATTATATTTTAAAACTTTAAACTCTCTAAGTTTTTTACTATGTGATAATACACACTTCTACTCAAACTACACACTCATAATCTAAGTTCTATAATTCAGTTTTGGAAGCTTTCTTTACGGCCTCAGGTTAAATGCAGCGTTCTCTTGGGGGTCAGTGCTTGTCAGCACAGAAATGTTTAATAAATCTTTAATGAATTTAATTAATTTAAGAATTAATTTAAGGGGGGTTTCTGGAATGCCAGGTGTGCTGCAGCCTCTGCCTGGCAGAGGTTTTTCTTTTCCTTTACCATTCCTCCTCTCATCCTGGTGCTAAAGCCACTCTGATGCAGGACCACAGAAAACCTGTCCTGAGCTGGGGTCTTCCCACAGGACCCTCAGGGAGAGAAGGAACTTTTGGAAATTTGAATAAAAAGTAAATCAGCAGGGCCTGCTGTAGGAACTCTGCTTTGGAAGCAGAATTAGCCCCACAAAACCCCCCACAGCAGGGTCAGGGCCAGCTCATGGGGCTGCCCCGTGCTCTCCTCGGAGCCACGGGAGCTCTTTGCAGCATTTTTATCAATGAGTGTCACTTCCAGGGGGATGTTGCACAACCCCAGTGGCTTCCTCTGCACTTGCACGGGATCGAGGTGCTGGCAGCGACTTTCATTTCTTCCTGCTGTGGGTTCCTGCCTTGGGGAAGGCAGAGGTTGCTTTGATGCCTTTGGTGCTCTCCTGAAAAGGGTGCCCAGAGCATCCCTCTGCCTCAGGGTCACAGCTGGACTTCATCATCCGTGTGGATCCCTTCCAGCTCAAGGATATATTGTGTTTGCGGGGTGCCCCGATGAAGGAAGGAATGATGAATCTGACTCCGCGTTCTCAGAAGGCTAATTTATTATTTCAAGATACTATATTATATTAAAGAATACTAAACTATACTATACTGAAGAACAGAGGTGACTCCGCGTTCTCAGAAGGCTAATTTATTATTTCAAGATACTATATTATATTAAAGAATACTAAACTATATTATACTGAAGAATAGAGAAAGGATATTTACAGAATACTAAAAAGATAATAATGAAAACTCATGACTCTTTCCAGATCCCAACACAGCTTGGCCCTAATTGCCCACTGAGTCAAAACAACTCACAGCAGAGTGCAATGAAACAATCACCTGTGGGTAAACAATCTCCAACCACATTCCAAAGGAACAAAACACAGGAGAAGCAAATGAGATAAGAATTGTTTTCCTTTTTATCTGAGGCTTCTCAGCTTCCCAGGAGAAAAATCCTGGGCAAAGGGATTTTTCAGAAAATGTGAATGCTACAAGAATATTCTGTGATTCTCCTCTTATCCCTTATTTCTGGGATAAGAGCCCTAAGGGAGAGGTTTCTCACCCTGGGACAGAGCAAATTTGGGGTCTGCTCTGGCCCCACACAGTCCCTGCTGCTCCCCCTTGTCCTGCCCTCAGTCAGGGTTGGTCCCTCTGCACAGCTCCAGGGGTGAGGGGGTTTCAGACCTAATCCCCTCCTTTTCTTTGGGATACTCATGCAAGGCACTGCCAAAATCATCAGACTTTGTGAGATCAGTGCCACGTTTGCTCTCCCACCCCATGTGAGTTTGTCTGGTGGTGAGGTGGCCACAGCCTGGCTCAGGAGGAATTAATGGGAATCTTTGTAGCCTTTATGTTTTGGCTGCACCTGCCTCAACTGCCTCTTCCTTCCTTATTTACTCCTTATTTATTATTCCTTATTTATTATTTGTTCTCTTTATTATTTGTCTCTTTCTTCCTTATTTATTCCTTATTTATTATTCCTTATTTATTATTTGCTCTTCTTTCCCTTTTCTTTCTTGGGTGCACAATATTTTGGTGGTATTGACTACTCAACCATAACCAGACAAGCCAAAAAAGAAGTGGCATCTTTGGCTCTTTACTCTCCTCCTCTAACTAATGGGCTTTTTCTTTCTTCAGTTTTTCAAATTTGCATTTGTAAAGCTGAATTTTCTCTTTCCCTGCATTTCCTCCCCTCCAAATTCATGTTCCTCTGCTGGATTCAAACGTCACCTGCTCACCATGGCAAGAGAAATAAAACCACAAGTCATTTCTTTACTCTCCCTTTATATCAGTTCCTGATATCTAATTCCTTAAACAGAATTAAACACCAACTGCCTGCTCTTGCTGAGCTGCACTTTTGTGCAATTCTCTGTAATATCCTCGATTCCAGTCACAATGGAAAGCATTTCATCAGCATCCAGTAAGAAGTCCCATCCGGCCCTCAGCTGAATGGAGAACCGAAAGCTTGGCCACTCACTTCTGCAGCAAAGAGGAAATAGTTTTGCTTTTTTCCGTCAGAAATCATCTATTAATTGTGAGATTTTCCGTGGCTCCTGCCGGATGACAAGTCGTCCTCTGCAAACCGCAGTGCCCACAGTGCCCTGATCTCGTTTTCCAGACTTTTCTGGCTGTGGGATATTCCTCACCATGCTCCTGGTGTTTGTTGGCCCCCAGTGCTGCTCTCTTGCCCATTCTGCCCCTTTTCCCTCTCTTTGGGCACCCACCAAGCCGAGCTCAGCTCATCCCTGGCTCAGGGATGCTCTCTCCAGAAAAAATCCCAGCCAGGCTTTGGATAGCTCAGGATCTCTTTCCTGTGGTTGACCCACACAGCGATTCCTGGTTTTCTTCATCCTGCCTGTCCCACTCCCACTTCTCCCCCATGCACAAACCAAGCTGGCCCTGGTGAGGCAGGAGAGGTGCCAGAATTCCAGGGGTGGCTGGAGGGCAGAGCTGTGGGGAAATCTCTGTGGGACACGTGGGGTTTACAGGCAGAGAGGGCCATGAAAACACAAAAAACTTCCACTGGCTGGCCCTGAACTTGGGATTCCTCTGCACACAGAGGGTGCTTTGAGCTCCAGAGAAACCTCTTGGTGTCTCTGCAACCAGCAGGGAAGAAAAACAGGGTAAATTCATGCAGATCTGCATTACTCTGGGGAATTGAGTCCCTTCCTTCTGCCTTTGTGTATCCAGGGGCATGTGACAAGCAGGAGCCTTTACAGCAGGTGAATTTTCTAAGCCTTCCTCAACCACCACCTGGTTATTGGTAAATACAAAGGATTTATTAATTTATTTATTCATTTGTAGCTCCACGCACAGAGTGACTGAAACAGAAAGAGCTGAAAATTGGGAGGTGGAGGAAGAGCTGGAAGAGCTGGACTCATTCTTCCACCAGCCCAAGGCCAGATCAGCCCTGCCCAGCTCCTCCTGAGCAGCTCCAGGAGATGATTTACACACATTCCCTGTCCTGCTCACACCAGGCAGGACCTGGTGGCTGGGGGGGGCTTTTCTGGACAAGAAGTGGAGAAGGGAGCACAGGCAGTGCCATGGCTCAGCATTTTGGGCAGTTGGATTTTTCCCTTGAATCAGCCAGGAATTAGTCATACCCCAAGCAGGGTCAGTAGGAAGGCCAGGGGAAGATCTGGGGCAGCACCAGGAAAAGGCTGGAAAAAGCAAAAAGAAAATGGAGGAAAGAGTGATTTTGGCAGCTCACTCTGCCTGGGTGTGCAGCAGAGGGGGATGTTTGGGAATTACCCTCTGGAATTGCAAATGCTGCCCTTTTTCAGTCACTCTGCAGTTTCCTGGAGATTTTATCTGCAGTGAGCTGATCCCAGTGGGTACCAGCAGGATCCTCTCCTCCCTCTGGCTCCAACCCTTAATGCTGTGTCCTGCCATGGGAACCTCTGCTTTAGGGGGCTAAATCAGGAGAAATTAAATTGGATTAAATGATCCTGCTTGGGAAGAAGTGGGCAAGCAGTTATTGCAACAGCTTTAGCGTTGAGAGGCTGCAGCCAAAACTGAAACTCTTCAGTGTAAATCCAGAGGAAAGGGAAGGTGGCAGGGTCAGCTGCAGCCAAAAATTAAACCCTTAGAGAGGTGTAAATTCAGCCAGGGGACAGGGAGGGTGGCAGAGCAAGCTGCTGGCCTGGATCAGGGCACCAGAATCCAGGCCGTGCACCTTCAGGGATTCCGTGTCTCTGCAGCCTTTCCAGTAAGGAAATTGTTCTCTTGACCAACCACCAGCAAAAAGGGACAAATGTGAGACCCCAATGACTTCTAGCTCGACACAACCTCATTCCCTCATGATGTCCCCTGTCCAAGCAGGAGCTGGTGTTATCAGTGGGGATGAATGTGTGTGCAGAGGTTGTGGACCTCGCTCTGGGTCCCCGTGGTGGAGCAGGCTGAGAAGTGGCATTTGTGGCAAACCCAGGGAGAAGTTGGCAGCTATCTCCTGGCAGGGCTTTTCTGCCAGCAGCAGTGGCTGGGGGTGTCCATGCCAGGGCACTCCCAGAGCTGCTGCAGAGCCCTGACACACTTTGGGAGCACCAGGCACCCAAGGAACATCTCGGAAGCTGCAGCCTCGTGGACGGCGCTTCCCCTTCTGCGGTTTCATCTCCTTTTCCAGCTCAGCAAAAATTGGGTGGTCCTGACATAATTTTCTCAGTATTATGCCATCACTTTCCTTCTTTGGAACCCTGCACCCGCCCCTCGGATGGGGATAAAACAGGAGCACAGCCCCAGGGCCACAGCAAGATTCCTGCAGCCTCCCCAGCTCCAGCTCCTCTCACAGAACCCACAGCCCGCAGCACCATGAAGGTCCTGGCAGCCACCCTGGCCACTCTGCTCCTCCTGGCCTCCTGCTCCTCAACTGAGGGTCACCTCGGTGAGTCCAGCATGGCTGTGTCCTCCTGGAGGGTCCCTGCCCTGGCAGGGTGGCTCTGGGGAGGGTTGGGGGGTCCGTGTCACGCTGGGAGTGCAGGTTTGGAACTGGGAGGGGGTTCTGCCAGGGGATGTGGAAATCCCTGGAGGGGGCAGAGGCTGTGCTGGGCTCTCACCAGGGCCGTGTGTGTGTCCCCTGCCCTCACAGATGGTGTCCCCAGCATCTGCTGCTTCAGCTACCAGAAGCAGCCCATCCCTCGGCGCCGCGTCAGCTCCGTCTTCATCACCAGCAGCTCCTGCAGCCAGCCGGGTGTGATGTGAGTACCCAGCAGTGCCAGGGGGACCTGGGGGGCCTGGGGACACACTCGGGTGTGATGTGAGCACCCAGCAGTGCCTGGGGACACACATGGGACACTCGGGGTGCTGCTGCTGGCACTCAGATCCCGCTGCCCCAGCCCAGCAGCTCAAGGCAGGTTTTGTCCTGGCAGTGTGGTCACCCAGAAGAAGAAGCAGCTGTGTGCAGATCCAAAGGCAGCATGGGTGCAGGAGCTCCTGAAGGACTTCCAGAGCCGGGAGAACTGAGCCTTCCCTGCTGACAGCCACAATGCCACCCCTGCACAGCTTCCAGCCTCAGGCACAACAGAGAGGATTTGACCCCCAGCCTTCTTCAACGGGGAAAATTATTTTATTTAACTTATTTAAGTTAAACTAAATATTGTTTTTCTAAGCATTATTTTAAAATATTTTCTAAAAATTATTTAAACTATGTCAGAATAATACACTAAAATAAAGACAATTTCACTCATATCCACGTGTCTGTTAATGAAGGGTCAGTTTTGATGCCTCCTTACACCAAGTTGGGAGAAGGGACCGCAGGGACCCCTGGGTTTGCTGTTCCCCAGCCTGGGTCCAGCTCTGGTGCCACCCAGTTTGTCCCCACAGGTGACACCTGTGTCTCACCTGGGGCTGCCAGTGGTGCCTCTTGTTTGGGGAATGTTCTGGAAGTACCTGTGGTGCCACAGGAGAGCTGGGGTATGATTTTCTATGGGATGGAATATCCTTTGGTCAGCTTGGATAACCTGGCCTGACTCTGCCCCCTCACAGCAGCTCCTGAGTCCTTGATGAAGGAAAACACCACTTAGGAACAGCTAAAACATCAACATTATTCTCATGTTGAATCCATCAGCAAATAGCTAAAAAAATAATAAATTTGAGCTGCAGATCCTTCCCCAGCTCCACTGTCCCACTGGTGACACCACCAGCCAGTTTGTCACCCAGCAAACAGGACACAGGACATGGGGACAGCAGAACCAAATTTCTGTGCCACCCAGCTCTTTGTTAACAGGCACATTGATATAATGGAAACTACTTTTGTGTGAACGTATTATCCTGACATATTTGAAATACCACACCTAATAGCTGCCTTTTGTAAGTTCAGAGGAATTTGTGGTGAAGGAAATGCAGTAGATTTCACTCATCTGAGCTTCAGGAAGACACTTGAATTAAGGCCAGATAGTAAATTATGAGCAAAGGCAGAGGAGATGTGACTAGCATGTGAAAAGTAAATTTGGTCAAGAGCTGTCTGAAAGGAGCATGGTAATTGCTTCAGCTGAAAGGGGCTGTGTCACACTCACAGGGGCTTACCCACACAGTTCCTTGAGTTTCTGCCTCAAAAAATATCCTGCTTGACATTTGCATTAATGACCTTGGCACACAAAGCAGGAGAAGGCAGAGGAATTGTGCTGATGAGGCAAAACGAGATGGGATCATCAATCTGGAGCAGGCCAGGACATCACAAAGGAGGATTCAAATGACCTTGAGGGTGGAGGAGGGAGCCAAGGCAGAGGTGCAGAGTAGGATCCTGCTGGTGGGAACAGGGATAACAGGAACAGCCACTCCAGTTTGGGAGCTGGGAATGGCTGGGGCAGGGAAAAGCACTTAGCACACATCACAGCACTGATGTGATCATCAAAATAGTTAAATGCAAAGGGTTTGGGTTGAAAAATGAGGGACTGACCCATATGAAGACACCAGAGGTTGGAAGGAGGTGCAGAGGGCACCGCTGGTGTGAGGACAGGCTGGAAACCAACAGAGAGGAAATCAGGTTTGCACAGGGACATTGTAAGGTTCTCACACAGGTTTCTGACCCAAGATAAAAATCAAGCACTGCTCCCATAGACACCAGTCCCACTGATGGCTCAGGTTTTGGCTTTTATTTTCCAGATTCTGTGCTGCTTTAGTGTGCAGTTCTGAGCTTCATATTCGCTGATGGTGAGCTCTCTGCACAGAGCAGGGAGACAAAACAATTCCTGCTCCAGCTGGACACCAAGGACAAATGATCCAAATCTCAGCCCAAGAGCACAAACAGTGTGGGCTGGAGAGAGGAAAACAACAAGGATGGGACTGCATGGGCTAAAGCTGTAATTGGTCAATTAACTCCAATGTGCAAATGGAGCAGAGCAGATCACAGTGACAGACCCCATGAGCGCTCGTGCATTTTGGGACCATTTGGGTTCATCTTGGGTGCAGCCCTGGCTGGGCTCTTGTGCTGCCCCAGGTGCATCCATTGAGGAGATCCTTTTAATAAATCCCTGCTTTATTCTGTAACTCTGCCCAGCCTCTGTAGGACAGCCATCACAAGGCATCACCACCAGCACGTTCTACTGGCTGTCCTGCAGCTGAGATTCCTTCCCAGGTGAGCTGCCCTGTCTTCACAAGGTCCAATTCCCAGAGGCCTATCAGAGCCCAGTGTTTGGGCTCTAAAATTCCACACCATTGCTGTGGAATCCAATGTTCTCCAAGGCTGTCCAACCAGCAGCAAACCAGGAAAGTCCTTCCCAGGACCAGCTTCACTCGTTCCCCTGCAGGCCTGGAGATGGTTTTGGTGTGAGCTGCCTCACTCTGAAATTGGCTCAGCTCAACCCTTCAGTCTGGAGCAGCAGAATAACAGCACTTCTGCCCAATTTCCTCCAGAATATCCTTTTTGGACACTCTCACCTCTAACACCCCTCATTCTGTGCCCTGAAGGAGCAGAGCTGAGGCAGCCTCTGCTGGTGCAGACACCCCCATTTCCTAAGCTGACCCCTCGCTGCTCCCCAGGGCTGGATTAATTTTGTGGTTCCAACCTTTCACTCTCCACATTCTTTGTGTGTGCCCATCCCAGCTCACTGGCCTTGGGATATGTCACCATCACTGCAGCACTTCAGGACATCAAATCTCCTCTGAGATCATCAAGGGTTTCTATTTCTTTATTTCTCTCCTTTCGGTTTCCTCCACATCCTCATCTCTGACCACGTCCCTCAGAGCTTCCTGGGCCACCTCACTGCTGAGTTGAAAGATTTTTATAGCACTATTTTAAATTTTCAGGCTTTTTCTGTCGACTTCCTCTTTCTCTGGAATTTCTCTTTCGAATTAACTGGGACAAGACTAATCCTGGGGTCTGCTTGGATCCCTTTCCTTTTCAACCACAGGATGTGGGACTGACTCACATTTTAGGGAGAATTACTTCTATCCCCCCTGATCTGTGAATCCCAGCACCCACAGCATCCCTTCACATCCCCAATACCAGCCAGAGGTGTCTCTCTGGACACTCACTCCTGCTTTTCTCCTCAATTTTCCTTCTGTGAATTGCCCAGCAGGACAGCTGTGAAACCTTTGCTTTGCTCTTAGGACCAAGCCAGGAGTAATGGCCACCATCAGCCCTTTCCCATCCTTTTCAGAGCCACTTTTTTCCTGCAGCCTCCAATCCTGGACCCTGCTGGGTGTAATTCACATGACAAAGCCTCCTCCTCCTCCCAGGAGAGGCAGCACTCTTGATTCAAAGTGCTTTTTGGTGTGAAATCTGCTTTTTACCCTGGTCTAAATGCCTCAGAGCAGCCCCAGGGTGGGTTCCCCAGTGTGCCTCCAAAAAGCTGACCCTGCTACCCCCAAAAATGCCTTGCAGGAAGGTGGGGAAGAGGCCACAGTGCAGAGAACCAGAAATAACAAAACACAGCCAGATTTTGCATCTGGGCCTGCCTTTTGCCCATAGAGCTGAGTGAAAAAAAGTGATTTTGGAGGCCCACAGAGCTGAGTGAAAAAAAGTGATTTTGGAGGCCCATAGAGCTGAGTGAAAAAAAGTGATTTTGCTGTCCCCACAGCAGGACTGTGTCCCCATCACCAAGAGCAGCAGGCTGGGAGCTCAGGTGACAATGACAAATTACAGGTGCCAGTCTGGTGCTCCATGCACACTCCTGAGGTTGGGGCACAAGTGGCAGGGATGCTCTGGGAAGGACACAACCTCCAGCAAACACCTTGGGCACAAGAGGCTGCAGACCTTGGCGGCTCAGACGGCACAAGCAGAGGAACAAGCCAGACACAGGGATGTCTGCAAGGAGAAAGAGGAAGGAATTTGCTCTGGGTGTGATTCTGCAACAGGCAAGATGTGAACTCATCCTGCTGCTGGTAACTGGCTCCAGAGCAGCAGCACGGGCAGGAAAGGGTCAGGATGACTCAGGGCTCAGGCACATCTGTGGTGGTGCCAAAATGCCAGGGCCAGGTCAACCTTGAATCATCCAGGAGGTGAAAATAATCTGGTTTTTGAGGGTTAAGTCCCAGCAGAGGATGTGCTGTCTCCAAGGATTGAACATTTGCTGCCCTCCATGGCTCAGGAGCACCCTGAGGAGCTTCCCATCTGCACAGTTCCTCATCCAAGGGCTTCTGAGGGAAGGGAGAGGCCCTAGGGGTCAGAGCACGTGGTTTTTCAGAGAAACAGAGCAAGCAGGGCTGGGAAGACACAACTTCCACTCACTCTGTCCTCTAGGAACAGACTTCCCCTCTCTCCAGGTGATCTCCCAGCACCTCCTCACTGCTGCAGGATTTTTTCTCCCATTTTTTCTCTGTTTGAGATCAGAACACCGTGTCCTTTTCCAGCAGGAAAACAAAGGATGAAATTGTTCAGTGACCCCTGTGGCCCATTCTCAGGCCTCTCTCACCCTTTTTGCACTGCACACCATGATTCTTCCACGCTCTGCAAATTTAACAAATCCCCGCTTGTTTCAAGCAGCATTAATAAAAATATCACATAGCACCAGAGCTGTGGGGTCCCACACACTCCTGGCAGTCAGGGGTGAAATCCAGCCAGGCCATTTCCACAGGTTGACAATGACAATGAGGTGTCAGAAGCATTAAGGGATTTTTTTGCAATTTAGGGAGCCCCACAGGACTGAGCTGCTCATGCCATAATCCCTGTCCACAGCACATTGCTTGCAGATTTTGAATCCCTGTCAAAAATGACGTCAGGTTAAACTCCAGGAAAAGAACAGGAGCGAGTGCCTGCTGGTGTGGGAACACAGGGCTGGGCAGAGATTCCCAAGGATTTCCCAGCCAGCTCTTCCCAAGCTGCTGCAGAGCAGCATTGCAGCACCATCTGCTGCCTGCTGCTCCCCAGCTCCTCAGCAGGCAGCTGAGAAATGCCTCACTCACCCCTCAGGGTGACAAATCCTGCAGTCACTGATTAAAACGTGGCTCTGCCTTCTCTTCTTGGGGGAAATCAGGGCTCAGGCTCCTCCGAGTTCCCTCAGCTGAAGCACAGGCTCAGATCTTGTGGTCAATACTGCAGGTGAGTGTGAGCAGCAGAAGCACCAACTTACAGAGTTTAATTGCTGCAAATATTTACTCAGGCTTTAAGCAAATTAACACCCTGCTGGCACTTCTCTTTGCAGCAGTCTCCTGTGAGGGCACAGCACACCTGACTCCATGTGTGGCTGTGCATTCCTCAAGCTGATCCCAGCTCCTCCTGCCCCATCTGAAATGTTCACAGGAGATTCCAGATCCTCCTGACATCTAAAAGATTCACAGCTGATCCCAGCTCCTCCTGACCCATCTGAAATGTTCACAGAAGATTCTAGATCCTCCTGAGACATCGAAAAGGTTCACAGCAGTTCCCAGCTCCTCTTTCTCCATCTGAAAGATTCACAGGAGATCCTAGCTCCTCTTTCTCCACCTAAAAGCCTCACAGCACATCCCAGCTCCTCCCTGCCCATCTGAAAGGCTCACAGCAGATCCCAGCTCCTCCTGGCCCATCTCAAACACCCATCCCAGCCTGCAGGAACGTGGTGCTGCACAGGAGCAATGCCCAGCAAGGACACAGCAGGCTCAGAACAGCATGTGAAGGCAGGTTTTGAATTTGAGCTGGCAGGAGTGTGACCTTGTCCTTTTCTTCACTGGGATTTACAGGACTAAGTCCAAAGAAATAAATCAAAGGTGCACATGGAGCAGGTCTCCTCCTCTGGGCCCTACTCCACGGGGCAGCTCAGACACAAGAGCAGAAGGAAGGCCCAGCACGTGTGAAGGATGTGGGCACAAGCTCCCTTGGCTGTGGTAAGGCACATGCCAGAAAAAGAGGGAACAGGAAAAGAAGAACCAGGGGAATCCCAGTATTTCTCCTCACCCTCCAATCTGAGAATGCCACATTCAAAGTTGCTGCAGCATTTCCTGGCTAATATAGGAGATGGTTCACCATCCCAAATCCTGGCCCATGCCCCCTCCCCAGCCTTGGGACCATGACAGCATCTGCCTCATCCTTCTGGCATTTCTGACAGCTTCTCCCTCTCACCCACCAGGCTCCTGCAGACAGCTCAGGAATTGTGTGTAACAGCCAATACTCTGCAAACATCTCGTGCCAGATTGAGCTGGGAGAGAATGAACACAGCCCAAGCCACCCAGGCAAGGCAGCAAGTGCTCCCAGGGCTGGGAGCAGTCAGGGCAGCCCTGCAGAGCACTCCTGGCCCTCTCCACAGCAGCTGCCATCCCCCTCTGTGCTCAGCCTGCTGCAGATGTGTACAGAGGAGATTTGGGTGTTTGTTCTCCAAACCTGCCTTGTTAATGCTGGAGGAATATTGACACAACACTCCCTTCGAAGCAAGAGGAAATTGAAGCTTTTTGTTGAACCTGGTTTTTTCTTTAATCTTGGTTTTCAGAACAAGACATTTAACAACATTACCATTCATTTTTATATCACATGTCACATGTTCAGCTGGGCTCCTGCTTTTGCTGCAGCTGAATGTTGTCTGCTTCCCCAGAAGTCCTCAGAGTGAAGATTTATGGAGAAGCAGACACTTGAACACACACAAAACCAGAAAATGCAAGTGGGTTTTACTAATGAGGCAGGCACTTAGCTGCATGCACCTCTCCACCAGAAACAAGTCCCACTTTAGCAGACACCAACAGCATCTTTTGTCTTTGTCTAATTTGGGAGCTGTGCTGCACAGAAGTGGGAAGGCAGTTAATGTATGCAAAGTTTGCTCGAGCAGAAAATGCTTGATCTGGTCAGGGACTGGAAGAACAGAAGCTCTGCATTCCAAACAAAGGATTCCCCCAGGAATGGGAAGTACTTGAAGATGTCCACTTCTGCATCTGGAATTAAAAGCTGAGATTTCTCACAGAGAAATGCAAATCAATTAAGTGAACCAAGAAATGTTTGGGGAGGAGAAGGAAAATACTTGGCAGGCAAACACTAAAACGTCGAGCAGCTCTGTGGGAGTCATGTCCCAGGGACTGGACCAAAAACATAATTAGTCTGTTGTGGAGATAAACACCAAGCTTGTGTTCTATTTTCTCATCCCAAACACCTCCTGGGCACTTGCTGCCTCACATCCTTCCTCCAGCAGCAAAGCTCTAAGTGTGTGAAACACCTGGGGGAGGAAGGGTTTTAGCAAAGTCTGAAGTGTTCCTTCCAAAGTGCACAGGCAGTAAACAACATTTCCTCTGGCTTTGCACTGCTCCCAGCCACACTGGGGGCACTTGTGGCATTCCCAGCTGATGGCACCTGCCTGGGAGCTGGATGGCAGCTCTGGATCCACAATGCCTTGTCTGTCACACCTGGCAGCAGCCAGAGCTGCCCAAGTGTCCCCACAGAGGCAAAAAGGCCACCAGTCCCAGCAGGCTGGCAAGGAAACAAGGGGCTTCAAATGTAGATCACATCTGAGTCATGCTGCTGAACCTGCAGGCAAATCAAAGAGGAAGAATTAGTGCTGGCTTAAAGTAACTCCCTTTGCTCTGGGTCTTTCCTCCAACTCTGGAGCCTTTTGCAAGATGCTCTGCAAGTTTTTTCTTCCTTCTTTAAACAAATTTGCCTCGCCCCTGAGTTTAGTCTTAAAAGTTGCTTCTGAAAGAAGCCTCAGTCTTAAAACCTCAGCTGCTGCTGCACTCAGCTGTGTCCTTTAGTTCTAAGCACACCAACCCTGAAGGAGGCATTGAATGTTATATTCAGAAATGTTATATTCAATTGATCCTAAACCCCTCCAGTTTCGTTCAGAAGCCTGATGGATTTGCTGTGGTTTTTCCCCATTCCCAATACCTTGCCCAATTAGCATTGCCTACAGACAGCTGATTTCCTTCCCACTGTTCCAGACCACATTTCCTTCCAGCTCTTCCTCATTCTCCAGCCCAGTGACATTTCAAAGCAGCTTGTTTTCTCCTGACACCCATCTCATTGCTCTTCAGGCCTCTTTGACAGGGAGCACATGGAAGAGAACTGAGCTGTTGGGAAGCCTGGGGATTTATTGGTCTCTCCCTCCCTGCCTTTTAAAAGCAGAAGACAGGCACAGTATGTTTTAAGCTCTCTATACCTGGGAGCACATTTCTCATTTCCAAGTCTGGCTGATACAAATAAAATTTAACACAGATCCTCCTACTGTGTACAGACATCTCTGCTTCATTTACCAAGGCTTACAGCTTTGCACTCCAGCTTAGATCAGAAGTGAGAAAAAACAGGCAGCCTCGAGTTATAAACATTCCCAAATGATGTGCCAGCACCAGGGGCTCCAAAATCCTGCAAAAGCCTTGTCAGCTGTGAGGCTGGGACAGAGCAGGACAAACCAGGTCCCTACAGGCAGCCACCCTCTCTGAACTCTCAACTTTTAGGCAACATTTAGGAATTTATTTATGAATCTGATTACCTTTATAATCTGTTTTCTGGTTCCTGTGCCCACACTGTTGGCAGCCAAGGAATTGGCTTGGGAAGATGACTTTTCCACTGGCACCATGTGCTGAATTTTGTTGGTGCAGGGCCAGCTGCTTGCAGTGTTTAACAAGTAAGCAGGGAAAGGTCTTTGAAGATTTACATCCACGGCATCTCCAGTTTCGAAGGTTTTCATCCATGATGGGGCCTTTAAAAGAACAGAGCACATGGAAATTTAATGCCCTCTCTATATCAACACTCATTAAGCCAAAAAGAACATCAGATGAGTAGTCAGAAAATAAAGGCCATCTTTCCTCATCATTTTTCAAGCCTCCCTTCTGTCTCTAAAAAACCATTGACTCAGAGCCATTTTTGTTACATGAGGAACAACCTGCAGACAAAGCCAGCCCTATTCCTGCCCTGCTGCAAGAAGAAGCCAAAGAGTTTATTTAAATAACAAGCAACTTATGACAAAAATCTGGGTCTAGTTCCTCATTGCCTTAAAAAAAAAATACACCAAGGCTATTATGACTTTCAGCAACCACAAAGCACATGAATGAGAATGTGAAGCAAACTGTTAGAAACCACATTTAAATGTGTTAGTCACAACAATTTCATTTGCTCCCAGACCTTAAACCCTGATTTCATAATCATAAAATGAGAGGATTATTTTTTGCTGATGCTCCTGGTATTCAGTGCAGGAAAAAAAAGGCTTTAAGATTTTGTTTTGACATTAATTTTCCTCTAAAAGAGCTCATGCTTCTAATATTTTATCATCAAGGGTAGTGAAGGTTTGGACTGGAATAGAGCAGCTCCCTTTGGCACACACACACACTGTTCCATTTTGGGGCTCATGCTGGAGAAAGGGGCAGGGATTTGGGGTTCTTACACTTCCTAAGGAGCGATCCAAGGAGCCCAGGACTTCATTCCAGTGACTGTAAAGCCCAGCCTGTTTTTCCTCCAGTTTCAGAGCATGAATTTCAGACTTCAGTTCTTTCAGTCGATCTTCGAATTTCCTGCTGTTTTCTAAGTAGTCCAGCCTGAGTGCACACATTGGAGGCAAAAGGTTTAGGGTGGCACAATTTAACTCAAGAACAGGTGTTTGTGGAAGGAGGAGAGTTGGCTTTTGTTTCATTGTATGTTTTATAAGTAAAATGAACTCTGGCAATGCCAGCCTGGCTCCCCTGACCCAGTGACAAGGGAGTTCACTTCTCTCCTTTCTGCTTCCTAACTTTTCACCAAGCATTTCCTCCCAGACTAAGGGATGTCTGATGGATCAGCTCCCAGCAATTCCACACTTTAGCACTAGAGGGAAACTTCTGTCCTCTCACATGCTGTTGGTTCAGCAAGGTGCTTTGTCCCTCCCTAAAACAGAAGGTTCTGGATTTATCATGGCTTGATGCCACCAAAAAACCCTTCGCCTGTGAGAAAAGCCAGTGTGACACACACATCACCCACACCAGCTCAGTAAAAGGCCTCCAGCCACACGCACATCCCAAATTATTTAAAGATGAACAGTGATTCCCAAAGATTTCATTGCCTTTCTCACTCATTTGCACCACAAGCATGGTGATACCTCTCTCTCTCTATCTCAAAGGAGAGTCTCTTGAGGTCGATGTCCTTCAAATCCAGCTTGATGGATCCCTTGTCAAAGTTGGCATCTCTGCTGTCACCTGGGCAGTACTGGGGGTACTTGGCCATGTGCTGGAAGAGGCAACACAAGCACTGTCAGTCAGATCTGATGGGCTGATTTGGGATTTATCTCCTCAGTTCTGCAAGAGTGCCATGTTGAGCTATTCCCTAAGTTTCTGAGACACAGATTGTCCTGCAGCCCTTCCCTTGCACCCAGATGAAGTCCACAACCCACAGATCCAAGAGCAGAGATTTACGCTGGCTGCAGTGTTTCTATTTCAGCAGAGAATGAAAACCCAGCCTCAGCAGGGCTGGAGCAGAAGAGGGAGTTGGGGCACAGACCTTCAGCAGCGCCTTCCTGCTGGGGACAACTTCGCCTGCTTTGCCTAAAGACAGATGGATGTGCCAGGATAACACAGCTGGCTCAGCACAACCCTGTCCACAAAAACTGCCTGGCTGAATGACACCACGAGTTAGGCATGAAGGCAAGACAGCCTCTGCTCCCTAAGAACATCATCAGTTCTGGTTTTAACTCTAGCCTTGCCTTTCTTACCACCCTGAACAAACCCAGCTTCCACCCTCGCTACACTGCTTTTCCTCACCAGTTTGTCCCCCAGCTGGATGCAGCTATGCCACTACTCAGCTTGATGGGGGCTATAAAAATGTCATCAACATCTGACTATCCCTGAGGATGAAGTGGTGCCCAGGGAGCAGAACTTACAGGATAATTAAGCCTGGTTATGTCTAAGAGCTTCTGCTTGGCTTTGCGTTCGGCCTCGCGGGCTTCGTGCAGGTCTTGCTTCAGGTGCTCTGCTTCCTTGGCTCTGCAAGAGAAACATCCTGAGGGGAACAGCTGATGGTTTCCAACCAACACATGGACTTCAGAGCTCACTACCTTCCAGAGAACAAGTCCACCACTGTGTTATCTTTACACCAAGGTGCTAGTGGGAGGATGCTCACATGGAGAACTGACTGGGCACAGCAGGACAGAGACACTCCTGCACAAAGTGGCTGAAGTACCACGATTTTCCTACTCCTAATTTCCATGGGCTGAGTTACAACCTGCTGATACAGATTCTCTCCAGGCCACGAGATCCTCCCTGAGGTGGGGAGAGGTTGCTCTTTATTTTGGCAAGTTTCTTGGCAGTATCCTAAAACAAGTAGAAGGATTTCTTAAGAACAGGGTTAAAAATCCTCTGTCAACACTGGCATGCTCTGCATGTTCAGGGAACACACAAACACTCAGAGTTGTTTATATTCCACATGAGTTTACCTGGTTTTACACTTCTTAAAGACCTGAAAGGGAAACAAGAAACCATTCACTTGGTAGTAATGAATGAAAACAGCCTCATATCTCACAGGCTATAAAGAGTAAATTTAGATAGGTAGCCAGTGCTCATTTGATAACACTAAACAGAAGATGCTTCTGCATTCTGGATCTTTCTTGGTAAACATCTCTTTCTTGCCAAACATTTTCTTTCTTGCTAAACAAGCTTTGCATCTGATCCTCTTTAAACTTGACCTGCAATACAACAGCAGCATCCAGGTGGAACAAACAAGGCACAAGGAGGCTTAGTCCCTCTGCAGTGTCACTTCAGAAATAATTCCTCCCTCCTGGGCTGGGCTCTGAGGAAAGCAGCACGCCCTGCAGCCCAGCTGAGAGCACACAGAGCCGGGGAAGCAAACCCCACCTCCTGTCAGACTCCTTCACCAGCTTCACGGCGATCAGCTCCGCCTCCCGCATCTTCTGCTCCATCAGCCGCTTCTCCTCCTTGCTTTTCAGAGCTGTGATCTCCAGCCTCTGGCGCTCCTGCTCGGCCTCTGCAGCGTTCTGGGCCAGCAGCTTGGCCTCTTCTTCTGCAATCTGGGCTTTCTCAGCCAGCAGCTCTGCTGCTTCCTGGGATCGGAGCTGAGGAGAAAGCATTTTTCTTAATTTTTCTCCTTATCTAGGACCTCCAAAATCACCCCTGCAGGCAGGCAGGCAGAAGACATCTTTCACTAAGTGATAAAATATTATTTCTTAAATAAAAACCCAACAATTTAAGGATCTAATGTTTCTCCTCTGCTCCAGAATTTCCTGTGTCTCACCTCTACAAAGCAAGGAGAAAAATCTTGGAGCTGGACAAAGCTGAAGCCAGCCCCTTCAGCTGCCTCTTTCTCCCAATTTCAGCTCCAAGACTGTTTCCTTTGCCCCACTCTTAGCCTGAAGAGAGCACTGTGAGCCAAATACAGGGAGGGAACGGCTCACAGATTATGGCAGATCAGGGTTTTCCAGGGATTTCTGCACGCCCTTTCCACCAGTGATCAGAAACTCTCCAGCCTTGTCTGAGCTACCATTCCTGGTGTCAAAAAAGTCCTATTTCCAAACTAAGAAAGCCCATCAAGCACAAGAATATTCAGTGTAACTCACCAGGGCCTCGTTGGCCTGCCTGGCTTCATCTTCCAGCTGGAAAAGGCGCCTTTCCAGCTCTTCTTTGGCTCTCTCAGCTTCTTCTCGGAGCTGCTTCTCCCTGGCCAGCCTCTGGTTCTCCATCTGGAAGCAGGATGAGCAATATTGGTGGGATTGCACCAGAACCTCACCTGGGCCTGGGTGAAATGCATCAAATGAAGAAGGGGCTGCCCTCCAGCTCACCAGAGATGCTGGAGCTGCCTGAGCTTTGCAGCAGTGAACTCCTCAGGCAGACACTCCTGGTTATTTCAGGCTCCTGGGAGAGCCCTTGGATTGATCTGGTTTGTGCCCCAAATCTTTGGGATCACCTGTCCACACAAACACCTCTGACCTCCTCAGATGCCAAAGATGTTCCCACATTCAATCCTGCTGCTCTTCCTCACCTCCCACACACACATTGATGGAATACAGGAGCAGCAAGGGCAGAGCTGCAGTAATAATCACTGTCTTCAACAACAGAGGAGCAGGAAAAATCTACCTTTTTTCTAGCTTTTTCTTCCCTGGCTTGTGCTTTCATTTGCTGGATCTCTATGGAGTCCACTTTTCTCCTCCTCATAAATAGATCGTGGTTTCCAATGCACAACTGGAAAATCTGGATAGGAAAGGCACAGAAAATGGGGTTTTGATGCATTTGTGCCCCTGCCAGAGGGACAAAGAGGCCCACACTGGCCTCACAGGACAATTCTGACTTCAGCACAAGTGCTGGCAGCTCCAAGAAAATCAGAACCCAGGGCAGGCTCACAGCCAGGCACACAACAGCTCAGGTAAATTTGTAACAGGATGAGAGCTTCCTTCTGTCCTTCATCTCCCTCTGATCCCATTTTCCTGAATTACACAGGCTGATCTAGGCTGAGATCCCAAGATCACAGTTTTGTTTACAAACAATATTTCTCAGTCAGTATCACCAGGCTCAGCTTTAAAGCAGGAAAGCAGCTCACTCACCAGTTTGTTCACTTTGAGCTGAGAGGAGAAGAACTTGAAGACTTCTGCTTTTTTGTCAAGGGGTTTAATAGTTAACTACACAAGAAAAAGAGGGAAAAAAAAAAAGAAAGGAAGCACAATGAGGAGGAAAGTAAGTTGAAACTATTAAAACCAATGCAAACTTGAGCTCATCTCCACTTCTCTCTGGGGAAGAAGTGATTTATGCCACAAACAGGGGCAGGGTGATGTAAAACTGTTTTTGTTCATAGAATCAAGCTGTGTTGGAGGATAAATCCCAGGCCCAGCCCAGTGGCAGTGTAGATGGGGATTTTCCTGGTGCCAGCTGTGCACTGTCCCCAGAGCTCTGGAACAAGCCCTGGGTATCAGGAGAACAGGACACAGCAGCAACTCCTAGAAGCAGGCATGGCCTTAAAGCTAGGGAAATGTCAAACACCTCTCAGAACAGCAACAATTGAAGGGATAAACAAATGTGTCAAGGGCCTAAGGGCTTGTTCTTCAGAGCAGCAGGACAAAGTCCTGGAGACTTCCTCACTGTCTCAGTCCCAAGCTGTTCCCAGAGGCCAGGCAGGGTTGCCAGCTCAGTGCTCCACTCCATACCTTGTGCTCTGTTTGGCTGCAGAACAAAATATGGACTTTTTTTTTTAAGGCCATGTTTTCTGTTCCTCACGGGTTCCCTGGCACTCTGTTCCTCTAATTCATCTGCAAGGTAATTCCTGTATAATTCCAGGGCATCTGAGTCATGTCCAGGATCATGTCCTAGAGCTCCTTTCACCCTCTAGGTAATGACTGGCTGCCTTTTGAGGAGCAAGGCTGTGATGTGTCACTGAATAAAGTGAACCTTAAACACAGGGCTGCCCAATTTCCCCCAAAAGGGAGTTAAAGCAGTTTATTCACACATCTCAGGGGAAGTTTGATGATATCAGAGACCAAAACTGTTTTGGAGGCAGCAAACCCATAGTCCCCTCTGATTTAATGGATATGAATCTAAAATCTCATCTCAATTTTTGATCTCAGTTTCTGTGGGCTGTTTTCCAAAAGTCCCACAGAAAATGGAACAGGCTGTGCTGCCCTTTGGCTGACAAATTCCAGGTATTCCAGTACCACTGCAGTTTCCCTGGGTTTGTTTTTTCTGATTACAGCCTTCCACACAGCCCATGATTTGGACTGAGAATAAATTTTCCCCACTCCTTCCTTTTCTAGAAGCAAAAGCTGGGCTTCACAGTGAAATTGCAGTGGTGGGGAGTGAAATCATGTCCCAACAAACTGGCAGAAAACCATTAATCCCTCCCTGCATGTCTCCTCTTGCCACTGGGCTCCAAGGCTCAGCTGCAAGGACTTCTGTGTGCGCAAACAGCATTTAGGTTTTATGGATCATGGAATTCCTGCTGGGATAACTGAGCAAGGCAGGCACGGTGGCATTCATAATATCTGTCTTTTTCAGAGATCAACACATTTGTTTTGCAAAGGCCAAGCAGCAGGGAAGGAGCCAGCACAGAGTCAGAGCTCAGAGCAGCCTCGGGGAATCAAGGTTTCGAGCTCATCTGCAAGGCAGGGCTGTTATTTTTAGTTTTGTAACAAAGCTCCCCAGGATTTTCCCCTTCTCCCCCAAAATTATTTCAACAGAGGAAGCTTTCAGCCTGTTCCAAGAATCCCAGTCCACACCCATGCCCGTGGAAAAAGAATAATACATCAAAGCCATCATACCTCTTTCTCACTACAGGAAATGTTTCTGATAGAGCTCCACTCAAAGGATTTATTGGGGGAGAACCTGTTATTAATGCTGTAGATATGAATACCTTTGGCATCAACTCCAAGCAGGAGATCTGTGTGGTTTTTATTTTGCTAAAAAACAAGAGAGATCAGTAAATGGCATTTTTTGTGACATTAAACAACCATAGACGAGAAGCATCTATTTTAATATATTGATATTTGTAAGTATTTTAGGCAGTTGGTGTTTATATAAAGTATTATGGATGCTGTCACTGGTAATAATAAACTCAGTCCTCTAGGCTGCTTATAGCAACTCAAACTATTTCTCCTTCCTATTCCATACCTGGAGTTACTCAAAACTTTTGTCAGGTTGTAAAATATTAATCCTAACTGTTATATTCACCTGTTTATTTAGCAGGCAAGAAAACCAAGTCAGAACAAAACCAGAAGTCAGGAGTCCCAGTTCCAAACTCCCTGGAGCATTTTAAAAGGACAGCACCATCACCTGCAGCAAGTAAAAACTGCTAAAATAAGGCACTTACAGCAATTGGGAAATAATTGACACCATACATTTCCAAGTCTTGGGCAATTTTCAGATAGTTCATCTCAGCTTCATCCCTGGAGAATAAAGCCATGATTATGAAATGCCCTTCCAGCCTTTCTCTCCTGGCTGACTCTCCATTTCCCATTTAGAAAAGAAGAGGCAATCTGACCCTTTGTACAAACTTAGTTTTGCCACCTTGCTCTCAATAACAGAAAAAAAAGGATAATAAAAACAGCATGTGGACAGAATAAAGAAAAAAATAAAGAATAACAAAGAATAGAAGTTGCACCTATTTCAAAAGATTACTCATGGATAGTGTAATCTTCATTAAAATTCATTAAAAGTCTTATCCCTGTGTTAGTTTTGCCACTCCATGTCTTGGAAAACCACCCTTCCATTGTTTTCCATGAATGTATTTCCTTCAGGAAATAGAGTTCATTGAGAAATGAGTATTGGACAGAGCTCTTGGCCATGGCCAAAGAAGAGGGAGAATCTCTCCACCTACTTTTCTTCTCCCTTCAAAGTAAATCAGTAAATCTTGAGGAAAATATTCAATAAAAAATAATGCTAAGAAGCCTCCAGAACAGAAAGAAACAGAACCCAAATATTAGGAAAAGCTGCCTCTGGGTGCTAACAGATCCTATTTACTGTTTAATTAGTTTTCCAGACAGGCTGAATTACACTGAAAACAACAAATTCCATAAATAAATGTATGGTGTTTCCAGGAAATACAAAGATTTCCTACCTGGCAATACCCCTGTGCTCAGCATACCAAGCAGTGATCTTCTCTTCCCACATCTCTGCTGTCAGCTGGTACTGCCTGAGCACCTGCAGGAGAAGGAGGGAGGTTGGATCCCTGGGAAGATCCAAATCCAAGTTCTGCCTCCCCCAAGCAAAGTGAATACAGAGGTGCAGCTCACAGCTTGGGCATTTTGCAGAGTTTTTAATGCTCTGGTTAATCCCCAGCAATATTTGCACTGTAAAAAAGAGACTGAAAGATTTTGCACTGCAAAAAGGAGATTCAAAGATTTTGCACTGCAAAAAGGAGATTCAAAGATTTGATTTTGTCTCAAATAAGACTCACCCTTTTGGGCAACAGCTCATCATGGGCTAGAAAGCCTGGCTCATGGAAATTTGGGTCGTAGTCACCATACTGTCCCAAAAAAAAAAAAGAGTTACTTCAGTTTGTTAGAGGTAGAATGCAGAGGGAGCTGTTCCTTGCACAGTTTGAAGTAAAAGCTTAAGGCAGATTTTATTTTGGTTCCCCTGCACACATCCCCTCATCTGAGCAGTCCATGGAAGATCCTTCCAGAAAGATTACACTAAAATGTTAGGCCCAAATAAATCCCCTAAATTGCAGAAGCATAGAAAAAAATCCTTGTAGTGGCATTTAATTTTTTTTTTTTCCTAGTTGTGCTTGTACCTCCAAGGATGACCAACTTTACCAACAAATTTTACTCAGCTGTGTTTTACATACCAACCATGTAGATGTGTTGGGTTAAACCAGAAAAAAAGTCAATTAAAAAAGAGATTTTCTATGCACAAACCTTGGCCTGAACAGCATAAGAAGCCAGTAAAACTGTAGCTTCTGGTGAGCAATAGATTTCCTCATCCAGGATCTGCTTCTTAACCTAAACCAACAGAAAAAGGGAGCAAGTTCAAGAAGCTCAAAGTCAGGACTTAAGTCAGGCTTGAAATGAAAGCAGACATGCCCAGACTAGAACTTGGCACCAAATATCACCTTTAGGAGTTAATAACAGCAACAAGAAATTGGCATTCAGGAACACAGGAAGCCTTTAGTTAGCAGTGCATTTAATGAGACCAAAAATGCCAGTCAGCTCTCTCCACACACTTACATAAGGAGTCCTAGAAAAGAAAATCCTATAAAACATCAATTTTATTGTCTGCGCTTCATTTCTTTTAACAATCCTTCTTTTTTCTTTTTCCTGCCTTAGGAAAAGTCAGCTTTGCATCACATCAGACATCAGATTTTAGCTTGGGAGGGAGCTCTGGAGGTCAGGTCCAAGCAGAGCAGACTCAGAGCTGTGCAGCTGGCATATAAAAATCATAAGAAACATTCTCCAGCTTTCCAGAATGAGAGAATAAAGGAGACCCTCAAAAGAGAAGCTGAATAATAAAGCACTTCATTTATTCATTTTCAGTGGTCTAAGCACAATCAGACAATGCTAAAGAGTCTTTCAACATTATTTTCATTTTAATAACCTGTGGTGCTACCAAGAGCAGAGGTGTTATAGTTTGCAAGGTGTTGTTTGATTTTAAATCAGTTGTGCAATTTCTGTTTGAAAACCTAAAGAGGGAAGGGGAAATTAATCTTCCCAAATCCTCCTCTCAGGGGTATTTAGCTTAGGAACAAGCACAAGACAACAAAATTTTGCATAGCTCACAGTCTTAAACACTTCCAAATAGAAAAATGACTTGAGCTAGCACAAGTTCTGTTCACAAACACACCTCTGTAGGTGCTGGAAACTGAAATGAACCACCAAGAAAGTTTTTGCTTTTAAATTTAGTCCCTGGTGAGCACAATCTGTGAAGCTGAGTTACAGTGCAGGGAACATTCTTTCTAAGCTGTTAAAATGGAAAGAATGGAAATATTTTCTTCCAATTTGGAAAGCTCCAGCTTTCATTCTCCACAGTGCAAATCATACTCCAGAATTTAGAACAATGTGGATAAATCCCCCATAAGTGTCTGGGTTTGTTTGTTTGTTTGTTTTTTCTGATCAGTTTTTACAAGGACTTTTTGTGAAACTTCATGAAGAAGCAATAAATTACCTCATCTTTAAGCAGCCAATATTTAGCTTTACTCATTGACATTTATTCAGGCATTTATGCCACATTAATTTGCAAAGGTCTGAAGAGTCAGGAGAGCTGAAATCTTCAGGCATCCAGATGTCTGAACATGTTTTTCCTATTAGCATCCAGGTGTGAGCTGAAGTTCTTACAGTCAGGAAACTTTGCAAGTTCCAATTTGTTTCAGCCTTGTTTGCCTACTTTGGAATGAGAGGAATTTGCTAATTGCATACCTGCTAGTTAAGGCAGGTTCAAGCAGAAAAAGAAAAAAAAAAAAAAGGAAAAATCAGGATTAAAAGAGTAGGAAAAGAGTTCTGCTGTCCTCATTCCTTTCCAAAATTAGCTCAAGAAATAATTTGCCAAGTGGTTGAAGGTTCTGGATGAAGTTCTGGTGGGTTTATGAACCCTCAGAGCTGCAGCATTTCCCCAATATTTCATTAGCACATCCTCCTCAAGGAACAAGGGAATTTACTGGGTTTATTTCCAGCTGCAGACTGAATTTATCCCAGCTACCTGCACAGACACATCCTGCTGGAATAAAGCAACACTCCAGGGGCTGAAACTTCCAGAGGGACTCCAGAGCAACTCAGGAGAGAAGCTGGATGTCCCAGACATGGGAGTTGACCATGCCAAACTCATCTATGGAACTTTTCCTGGTTGATCCATCTTTATTTTTGATAAAGCTTCAAGAATTTGCTCCTTCATCTCCTTTTTGATGGAGCTCAAATGGTGTCTGCTGCTCTGCTCCTCTCAAACCTTGCCATGTGAACAAACCTGGATTTCAGAATGCCTATCAAATTCCATGATCTTTTGTCCCTACAATCCAAAATGAAGGTTTAGGGAGTCCTTGTTTTCTAGAGGTTTTGCTCTCCAGCATAAAATCTCTCCAAAAGCCTCCAGCTTTGCATGGAATTTTAATTTTTTTAACACATATTAAGGAGCAAAACAGGAATATTCAGGTTTGGAATTATCCCCCAAACTGCTGGGTGTTGTCACAAAAACCTGCAGAAGATCAAACATTCAGCTCACCTGGACACAAACCCACAGTAGGCAGGAGAGATGTTTGTATTTCATAAAAATAATGTCTACAAAGGTCTTGATAGAGCTGAAGCAAGCAAAATTATCCTGAGCTGCCAACAAGATCAAAGACAATGCGAAAGGACTGGGGGAAATACAGAAGGAATTCATGGTTCAAAACTGTTCCTGACCTGAAGGAAGAATAAATGCTGGGTAATTTCCTGTAAGAGTTCCTCTTCTACCTTCTCTGGGTAGAATTTAGCCAAAAAATGAAAGCTAATGGGATCTTCTTTGGGGATTTCTTGATCCAAAACCTGTTTACAGAGAAAATAAAATCAAATCAGCAGCAAAAAGGATTCATGAGTGTCTCAAGATAATATTCCTAAGGAAAATCAGAAAGCAGCCAATAATCCACTTAAAGCCTTCCCATATTTTAGAGGGAAGGGTAAATCTGATCTTTAATCTAACAGCAATCAGTGGTGATTAGTGTGGGAGGCTGCAGGTCAAATGGGATAGAAGCAATCAGAGCAAATTTCACCTTAAGAAAAGCTACCATGTCAAATTCTGAGTTGTCATGGAACACATCCCTTTAGCTCTTGTGCTCCAAAAAGTCAATATTTATAGAAGTAAATAATTAATTGCCACCCATTCTGTCTCCTGTACCTTTTTGTCCATCTTTAACCAGGTGCACATTCCTTTAATTGTGTACTGCAAGCCAAAGAACCAGGTCTCCCTTAAACCAAGGGCTCGGCACACCAGATCAAACAAATCCTTTCCCTTCCACTTCATCTGAGAGAGAGAAAAATCAAGAAAAACATGTATATCCTAAATGAATTTGCTCCATTTGAGCCCTTCCTCCTATGAAATCTTATTTCACCTTTAGGTTTTTAATGAAATATTCTTGCTGCTGTCAGAGTTGCTGTGTTCCACCTCCTCTCCCTCTCCAGAGGCATCCAGAGAGCAGCTGGAGTCATTTAACCACCAAGCACTTGAGGGAATGAGGATTGTATTATTGATTCCGTGGGATGTGGCAAGTCTTTATTAATATTTGTCCAAAATTTTGACTCAATGGTTTATACAAATTGGAGAGACTGAGAGAAAGCCAGGGGAAATCAAATCAGGACACGGGGTAGGAATGCTGAACAATGAGAACACCTTTCACACCCCTCAGGTATTTCAGTGGCACCAGGCCAAGCCTTTATCCTACTCTGATTTAAATGAGTCTTCTTAAATGCTTTCATTTCAATTTAGCAGCCACAGAGAGCAAACTTTGATTCAAGGTCCCAAATTCACACATCTGATGCCTTGCTCTCTTCACCAAAGAGGCTGCTCATCTGTTTCACCACATTTCACAGAAAGATGATTTTATCTAATTGCTAAAACTAAAAACTGAATGGCAAAAAGAAAAGAAAAAATGAACTTTTAGGCAGTATTGGGGTGGAAAGCTGAAAATCATCCAGCAAAAGAGCAGTGTCTGGGGAGAAAGGAGAGGTAGCAAAGGAAGGAATACACTATTTGTTAACAGGGACTCTGATCTCTAAATCAGATTTTCCAAATCCTTTATTTTCACAATTCTGCCTGCAAGTACTCCAGAGCAGTAAGTCATACAAGATTAATCTATCCTGTTTCTGCAGGACCTACTAAATGACATTAAATGGCTCACAGAGCAGTCAGGTCTCACTAAAACTGCCAGTCCCACTGGAACTGAGTTTTCTAACTCCCCAAAATACTTGTGTGTCTTGTTTTTCTTTTGCTGGATGATTAGGAATTAATTAATCAGGGACAGTTCTATCCTTTCAATAGTGCAGCCCAATTTATTTAGCAATCGATCATTTATTTTTCCACAGCCATGGTTTCCCTAATTAATTTATCAGCCATAATTAGTAGAACTGCCAGCTCTTTCATCAATCCTTTTTTCTCTTCTGCCCAGAGATCCAAACACCCACTGCAGGTAAAGAACTGGAGTTTATAAATGGCAAATTGATAGAGAATGTCCCAGCTCAACAAAAGTTCCAGTTTATAAATTATTTTATCAACATCTTAGCACCAGCTCTGACCAGTTTATCCAAGCTGGAAATGTCTTAAAGAGCTGTGTCAGTTCCAAAAAAAAAAAAATTCTTGGAGAAATAGGATCCTTACAAACAACTGGAATTAAGAAAGCAGTTTTAGTATTAATTTAGCAGTGCCAGTCAAATGGATTTCATGCAAACAGCTTTAAATTCTGAACAGAGTTAAGAGAAAAACACACCTGAGATTAAATAATCCATTATTTATAAAAATAACAGATCAGTTTTATGACCATCCACAAGCTGATATTCTGAATTTTTCCCATTTCTTGCTAACACAAAGGGCACTCCCCAGCTCCCCAGCACCTGCTGGCACTCTCACCTCACAGCTGAACTCCATCTCAGCATCCACTGTTATAATCCTGACTTTGAAAGTCTTTGGTTGTTTCTTCTTCAGGCCTCGGATGGACATATTTTTCAGCTGATGAGGGCAGCCACACCTGAAATCAAACATTGAGGGGTGGAAATTCAGCAGCATTTTCTTGGTCAGATTCCAAAGTTGGACGAGTCCAAACATGCAGAATAAATTCACCGTTAGAGATGCATTTTTTATGGCTAATAAGGATGTTGAAAGAAAAACCCTTTTAAATTAGTTTGCTCCTTAAAGGAAGTTGCTCAGAAAATGTTATTGCTGTCTTTTCTCAGCTTTTGCCTATCACAAACAAAATTCTCTTTCTCAAGGGTCTCTGCAGCATCTCCACCCAGTAGAACACCAGAAAATGCAGCTAAACTTTATTCTATCAAATCCAACACAGTCCTTTCCCATCAGTTATGGCTCCTTCAGCAACTAAACTTGGATTTCTTTATAACATGAGGTTTTAACTCCCTGAAATTATACAAATGCCAAGAATACATGCATTGAAATTCAGCTGAATTTACCACATTCTCTTGTGCTATTCACTCACAATGATAAAAGTAATTTAGAACAGGAATTTTCCCAGTGAAGTCTCGTGAAATTAATTTAATTTTGCAGAAGCTAACGGAAAATTCCATCAGAAATCTCCTATTCTAAATGTAATCACCTCCATGCCACCCAAAAAATTGAGGAGATGCTGCTTCCACAGGCACAAGAATCTTGTGGAAAGCAAATATTGAAAGCTGGAGTTAAATGATGGCGTGAATCTGCTCCAGGCAGTTCTCAGGCATTTCTTTCTGAGCACAGGAAATCAGCCTGTAAAGGTTTTTGCTTCTTTTTACTTTATAAAATTAACAGGTCAAACTTGTATAATGTAGTGAGAATCTGTGAACTGTACAGGGCAAGAGACTGAGGCATTCCTGGTTTCCTGCAATACAAGACTATTACAGTGTGGCAGCAATCCAATCTCCCCTTGAGGAATTCCAAAATAAAGCTCTAGTTTAAACTGAAAATTTCCATTTGCCTGCACCTTCCAGGATTTCATAAAATATTTTGCTCCTTTTTTTTTTTCTGCTGAGCTCTAAATTGGCTTGCAAATGTATTGATTTTTCCACTTACTTTGTTTGTGCCACCCACCCACAAATTTTTGAGGGGTTAAATAGGAGGTGAAACAGACATGGAATATTTTCTTTACAGATTATAGGGAAGTTGAGGCAGGGAAGAGATAAAATAGTTACCAAATCATAGGGATATCAGAGGCAGAGCTGAGAACAAGTGATGGAGACAACTCAGAGCGGGGAAGAGGAGCTCAGGAGGAAATTCATCCTTCTGACACCACTGGGGAGTTGGGGAGTCCTCTCCCTCCAGCTGCCTCTGGTGGAGCTTCTGCTGAACTCCTGTTTGAGTTTAGGGCACCACTTCTGGAGCTGGGAAGACAACTGGAGTCCAAAGGAGAGGTCCAAGGGCTAGAAAATCATCTGTGGTGAGATGAAAGCACAGGCTGGAACAGAGAAAGGACGAGTGGTGAGACATGGTAATGGCTGCTCTTCAGGACAAGGAATAATGGGCTTCATGAAGGTGCAGACTGAGGAAAATTCAGTAATCAGGATATTACTGTGCTGGAAAAGCACAGAGTGGCATTTCTCTTTCTGAACTTCCCCCCAAAACAATGTGACAGCATTGTCTTGGAGACTGGAGGCACCCAAACCCTCAAAGGACTCCCCCAGTGCTGGTCCCTCCTGGCAGTGGCCACCACCAGCCCAGGAGAGCCACACCACCCAAAACCAGTGAAATGCAAGAGCAGCACACCCAGAGCCCAAATCCCATCACTCCAGGGCACCTTTCTCCTCAGGGATTACATTTTAGTGTGAAAACCAGATCTTGCCACAAACTTTCTTCTATAATTTAGGCAGCTCAGTGCACCCAGCTGAGCAGAGCTCAGGTCTTTTCTACTTAGCACAGCAAAGAATTAAGGAAAAAGGGAATATTGAAAATCCCCAAAATGACCACAGCAATATTGACAGGGAGAGCATCATGTGAGGGCATCCACACCAGCAGTAAATTACCACAGTCACTTTTTGATCTCTAATCTGCAAAATTAAATTTTAACCTGTTGCATTCCAAAGATCTTTCCCATCAGTTTTTTTTCAAAACTGTAAATAATTGTATCATACAGCATTTATAGCCTGAGAACTACAGACTTCTACACAAAAATTGAAATAGTTTTATTAGTTTCTAGCAGAAACATTAATGGCTGAAAACTAAGGAGAAAATAATTCATTTTTAATATGTAACCTGAAACAACCAGCTGAGTTAAACAGGAACTTGGAGTTAGGGCCAGTACAGAACATTCTCAGAGTTTCATATGGAAAATTCTGAACAGATAAAATTGAGCAGCTGGAGAAAAATGTACTCATTTTCTCAAAATATGAGGAAAATACCAGAGCTTTTCACTTGGACTTTGAAGTCATTTCTTTTTTCTTATATAACCAGGTTGAAACGACAATATAATTTGTTCAACATTTCCAATAGCATTTTTTTTGTTCTTTCCAGAATTTTTATTCCATGGAAAAGTACATTCTGAGTCACAGCAAAAAGACATTTTTGAATATCAAATTTTCCCCAGAAAAGTAAACTGCATTTTAATCAATAGCACTGGTAAAGAAATTGGAAAGGGTTTTCACACTGAATAGCTGAAATGAATGTCAGATCCTGACAACAGAAGCAAGAGCACTTAGCAGAGAAGATTTTAGAGAAAGAACTTTTTTCAAATAAGAGGAATCTTGCTGAAAAAAAAAGACAAGATTAAAAAAAAAGACAAGGGTTTGCAATTTTTTGTGTAAATGCAAAAGCAATCCCTTCTAACAACAGGGAATCAAGTGCTCCAAGGCTCCTGACACCCAGCTCCAGTGATTTATTCCTGCAGGTGCCACAGGGATCCAGAAGGAGCAAAATGTGATGGATCAGAGCATGAATGCAAAATAGGGCAGGGTGATGAAAGATTCCTGCTCAGCCAGAACCTGGGAACAGAGAGTTCAGGAGCTGGGAACAAGCACAGGGAGATGAGTGATAAAAGCTTGGTGTGGTGAGGGGAACAGCAAGGCAGCGATAGGGAATAGAATGGCAAGGAACAAAAGAGCCCCGAGTCTCTGTTGGTGCCCAGGATGAAAGGAGGGACATCCAGCAGCTCTGGGTTTGAGTGCTCTCCCTCCTGGACAGTGAGGAAGCAGGAGCAAAGCGTGGGGTGCAGTGGGAAGAGCAGGAAGAACCGGCCAGGTGGCTGTGGCAGCAGCGATGCTGATGTGTCACAGCACAGCCCTGCACCCAGATCCACGTGGGGAGGCACCCACACAGCTCACAGCACTCACTCACAGGCAGTCAGAGAGGGAAAAGTGAAACCTGCATCACCACACGCTCACCAAGCTCCAGAAACCCAGCAGAACTCAGCACCTTGGAGGCAAATCTCTCAAGGTGCCCGAGAGCGAGAGTGCGATTTATGCTCAGTGAAGCGGCTCCAAGGGGAATGGGTGCGTTTTGTAGAGTTCTCCACCGGGTGTAAAAACTTCCCTTCAGGTGACACTGGCTCTCAGTGACAGTCATCACCATCCATCACCCTTGGGGCAGCCACACTGGGGTGGAAAATCATATGTTTTTACACACACACACAAAGTCCAGTAGCACTTTTTAAGGTGAGAACTCAGGTGCAGACAGGCAAAGAGTTAATGGCAATGGAGACCCCTCTTACACCCTCATCGTGAATCAGCCTTGAAAGGATCAGCATGGTCCTTACAGGAGCTGGAAACACAAAACCTTTGGGACAGCAACGAGGATTCAAGAGACAAGAACTGGGAATTACTTTAAGAGCCACCACCAGAAGATGCTTGAAGCACCCGACTGCAAAAGCACATTAGCACAGCCACTACTACAGCCTGAAAGAGTGGCAGCGCTGAAATATTTACTGCAACTCCGAGTGGCAGATTCCCCTGAGTCATTACGTTTCTCCCAGTTCCCGAATTTCCATACTCCAGCTCAGGAATTAATGCAAGCCATTTGAATGCAGACAACACAGGCGAGCATCGTGGGCTCTGCGCAGTTGTTGACTCACGCTCCTGCCTCTGCTCCCTGCCCGAGGAACAATTTCAGCAAAGAATTCACTGTTTTAAAATGGGTCAGCAAAATAAAGGGGTTTTTTTACTCCTCACTCTTAAAAGAAGTTATCTAAAGTCACCAGTTGGATCAAGACTTACCTCACAGATCCTATTTTGAATGACGATAAGAAGGGGGAAAAAATCCCTTTTAATCCAAAAACTCCGTATTTTCCCCGCAGACATCAATATCCAGCCCTCAGAAGTTTTGCCACTGAGAATAAAATCCAAGAACAACTTTTCTACTTGATCCCCTTCCCTTTGTTTCCATGAACTGCAGCATGTTAGCGCCCTCTGAAAAATCAAAGGATTGCTTTCCCAGGTGATAGGAACTCTTTAACCATTTCCTGCCTGCACCAGGGCTCCTCCCCACTTCCCTGCTCTGTAATTCAAACAACCAGGCACTAAAATAAGAGAAACCCACGAGTTTTGGCTTGGATAGATGTAAAAATAGATAATGAAATTCCAAATGATTCCTTGGATGGTATCTGATCAAATTATTTCAACAGTGTCTCCTGTTCTGCCCATATCAGCCACCTTAAGAAGGGAAACTGCCTGGAGTTGTGCTGTTAATTAAATATAATTCCCTACCTGTCCTCTTCCTGCCGTGAGAGATGATGGGACACCCACACACCAAAAAGAGAACAAGGCTCTAAACTGGGCAGCAGCCAAAATACCAGCAGAAAGGGGTAAGTGAGCACATTTAAATAAAAAAAAGAGATGGCCTCAGCCTGATGTCACAGGGAAAGACCAGGAGCACGTTACCTCAAAGCCCAATAATTCTGCCATTATTCAGTTTCTCAGTGCTTTGGGGTTTTCAAGACCAGGAGCACGTTACCTCAAAGCCCAATAATTCTGCTGTTATTCAGTTTCTAAGTGCTTTGGGTTTTTTTTTGCTAACCCTCCATTCTATACAGAGATTTATAGAAACTGAATATCTGCCAGGTTATGGATATATATCCAGGTGAGGGATAGCAAGGACAGGCCAGCTCTCACTCCATATCTACTATAATTATTCCAGATTTATATGGGAAACCTTCAAGATTTGTCTCATGTCCATCACTTATCAACAGGGGAAGAGCACAGTGCGTGCTGATGTGCAGAAACCTCAAAGGGGCTGCACTGAGAGTCAGCTCCATCCCCAAAACTCCATGTAAAGGGGTCCCTCAGCACCCACAGCCTGCATTTGTTTGGAGGAGGAGGCTCAGGGAGGAACCTCATCCCTCCCCAAAATTACCCGAGGGGAGGTTGTGGTGAGGTGGGGTTAGTCTGTTCTACTTGCAGTGAGAAGACAAGAAAAAAAGCTTTAAACTGAGATGAGAGATTCAGATTAGATATTAGTAAAGTGTTTTCACTGTTTGGGTGGTCAGGCATGGGAGTAGGTTGCCATGGCGGGGTTACCATCCCTGGAAAAGTCTGGATCGGGTGCTGGGTGATGTGCTTTGGGGTTATGGTGGCAGTGCTGGATACACGGTTGGACTTGACAATCAAAACATCAGAATACCCTGAGATGGAAGGGACTCATCAGGAACATCGAGTCCGACTCCTGACAGCACACAGAACGTTCCAGAATCCCACCACATATCAGAGTTCTTGAGCTCTGTCAGGTTTGGTGCCACAACCACTGCACCAAGGAGCCTGTTCCAGTGCTCCACCATGCCCTGGGTAAAAAAAACTTTCCCTGATATCCAACATAAACCTCCCCTGACTCAGCTCCAGCCATTTCCTCAAGCCTTGTCACAGATGAGACAGAAGGGATCAGAACCTGCCCCACCTCTTCCCCTCATGAGAATATTGAGGGGTACAACAAGGTCTGACCTGTCTCATCTTCTCAAAGCTGAACAAATTAACTGAGCTCAGCCACACCTCTTAAGGCTTGTCCTCTATCATCTTTAAGGATCTTTAGAGAACTCTTAGGGATCTTTCCCACCTTTAACCAACTCCACCACAGACAGACAGACAGACACACACACGCGCACCTCCCTCACTACTCCTGAGAGGGCAGCCGCCGCCTACCTTTAACCAACTCCACCACAGACAGACAGACACACACACGCGTACCCCCCTCACCACTTCTGAGGGGGCGGCCGCCGCCGGCGCCTTTAAATACCGCCGGGAAGCCCCGCCCCTCTGGCCCGCCCAGGCCCCGCCCCTTCCCGCCGCGCGGCGCTTCCGTGCTCGGCGCCGCCCGTTCCGGGCCCGTCTCTTTAAGGCCCCCGAGGCGCGGCGGCGGCAGCGGCGGTGAGAGGGGACGGGGCTGCCCGGGGCTCGCTTGTGCGGGTCCCCCTGTGCCGCGGCTGCGCTCTGGGTGCTGCGTGACCCGCCCCGCTGAGCCCCGCTGCCTGCGCGGCCCTGTGGCACGGAGGCGCCGGGGCAGGGCCTGGCGCGGAGCGCTGTGGGGAGCCGCGGTGGGGGGGGGCCGAGGGCTCCGTCTCTTCGATTTCTTCTTTTCTCCCTGCCTGCCGGTGCTCGGTGGGTGTTGCCCGTGCTGCACACGCCTGGCTGCGTGGGGTGTTGGGCAGTGGGGTACAGGAGGGCCCCCCCACGCTGATTCCTTCCGGCCCTGAGCGCCCACGGCTGAGTCAGGCGTGGGAAAAGCAGCCCCCGAGTGTTTGCTGAAGCTTTCATCCTATGGCTGTGTCCCTGTATCCCTGAAGTCTGCTTTTGATGTGTTGGGACATCAAAGCGAGTGTCTTACAAATTGGGGGGCATGGAGAGTTCACAGGTGTTGGTCGTGCTTAACAAGGGATCTGAGTGGGAGAGAAAATGGTCATTAATCTCCATTAGTTTTATATTGATTCGAGTCTTCTGTTGGCTTTTCCCCTGACTCTTGCAAGAGTGGTACAGAAAGCTCTCCCTAATTAAACCAAATAAGGTAATGGAATATAATTTACTTGCAGGAAAGAACTCAAAAGCAAACCCATGTACTATGGATCAGACAGCTCTTTGATGTGTCATTTCTGGCTTGAGAAGCTCATTACCTTCCTTGGGCTCCATCAGCTCAGCTGGTAATGAGAGGCACAGAAGGAAAGACTTTGAACAAAAGCTGTAGGCTGCTCCCTTGTTTGGGTGCTCTCTGTTCTGATGAACAGGTTTCCAGCCAAAACAGCTGCTGGAGTGTGTGTAATTCATTATTCAATGAATAATTTCCACAGCTACACTTTTCTCTGTTGTGTTAGTGGCAGTTGGGATGATTCATTTTTGTGGGGTAGGGTCTCATCCTCATGCTGTTCTGTCCAGTTTTCCTGCTGTCCTGAAGGAGCTTTTACTGATGGCAAGGACACAGTGCCATCCCTTCTGTATTGTCAAAAAGGCTGAGCTAGTGCAATACATGGAGTTTTGAATTGTTCTTCCAACAAAAAGACCTAATGAAGCTGTCAGTTTAAAATAAGGAAATTTTTGGTATTGATCAGAAAGCTTTGGTGTTTTTTACTTTGTTACAGTAACACATCTGCTTTTCTTGCTGCCAGGCACTGCATGACCATAACTGAACAATGTCTGTCCCACGTGGAGCTGTCCATGCAAAATGGATAGTGGGGAAAGTCATTGGGACCAAAATGCAGAAAACGGCCAAAGTGAGAGTGACCAGGCTCGTGCTGGATCCCTACTTGCTAAAGGTAACACCAGTGAACAGCTTCTCCTGCCTGCTGGGTTTTGTGTTTTGTGGAGAAATGTTCTGCTGATTCAACTCTTAAAAGTTTTGATGACTCTTTACAAATCAAACTCCTTAAGGATGAAAAGCAGTGAGTGGTGAGGACTTACAAATTACCTGCTAAATGTATTTCTTTGAAGTGCCTTGTTAATGCACTTCATTTGATCTTTTTGGGAAGGTAAGCTTTTGTTGTTTCACACTTAGATTTAATTTTTCATGTCCATGTGGAGCATGCTTTGGAGGCTTGACAGTTTATTAGTCACTTGTACAATAAATTTTATAGCTGTTTTTTTCTGCATGTATAATTGTAACATTTCTGTGATCTTGGATTTAGCCCTTATTGATGCACTTCAAACAGGACGGTTAAAAATTGTATTTTCTCAATTTTAAATAGAAAAACAGTGGTACATGGAGGTAGAATAAGTTGATTTTGGTGACCAAAAGGTTAAGTGTAGAGTCAGGATTGGAAAATGGGTCTTGTGGAGCCCATGTCTATTTTATCCAGTAGGAGAACCTTTATTTCTTAACCTAATTTATTTAATAAAGGACTCTGAATTTTGCTGTTCTAATAAGAAAAAAAAGGACTTTTTTATGTGAAAAAAAAATTATTTCAGCAAGAAAACTCTCACATAAAAAACTTTGAAATATAGATTTCAGAGCTTTTTCTTCCCCATCTCCTTTCCTCTAGGCTCAGTTGGCAACACTATCCTGGCAAGAGATTGGGAAGGGCAGTGCTGTGCTGTCTGTGGAGAACCTGTAGAGTGCACAGTTGCATTTCTCTTCATGATCCAAACTGAATCTCATTTTAAAACATACATAAGACTTTAGTGAAATTTATTTATTTTACACTAATTATATATTTACCCATCACATAACTTTGAAATATAATACCAAGGTTTCTTTTTTTTTTTTTTTGTTCCTTTTACAGTTCTTTAACAAAAGAAAAACCTATTTTGCCCATGACCCCCTGCAGCAGTGTGTTGTTGGAGACATTGTTCTTCTGAAAGCTCTGCCTGAGCGAAGGAGCAAACACGTGAAACACGAACTGGCTGAAATTGTGTTCAAGGTTGGCAATGTCATAGATCCCATCACAGGAAAGCCCTGTGCAGGAACCAGATTCCTGGAAAACCTGTCAGATTCAGAAAATCTCACCGAGGCAGATACCACCTATCTAAGTGAGAAACTTCAGGAACTTAAAGTTTGTTCAACAGACAAATAGTGGGGGAAATACTTTAAGCAGAGGGCTTCCGGCTTTTGTGTCTCTGTCAGGGATATTTGAGGCCCTGCTGTGAGATGTTAAATGTTCCAGTGAAATTTGTAGTCAAAATAAATAGTACATGTAGTTGCTTATGCAAAAAGATGTTGCAGATTGATGGGCACCTGGAGCTTTGAATGAAAATGCAGAGAAAAATGCAAGTTTAGTGTTCACACTTCATTTTGTTGCCTGTAGTTTTGCCCCAGTGACAGTTCCCAAAGGCAGCTGCCCTCCTGGATTGGCCTCTCTATGTTAAGACAAGACTACAGCTGTGTGATGTTTAATTTTAGTGGGAGGGTCATTATATTATTTGGTTGTTCTGTATTTCAGTCAGTCTTTTGTGGTTTGTAGGGTTACTGGAAAAGATGCTATTAAAGCTTTTGAAAGGAAGTGTAGAATTTTAAAACCAGCTGCATGCTTGTGTCCTTATTTCCTCTTTCAGTGCCTTCTGACTTCCACACTCTAACAAAAACACAGCCCTTTGCCTTTAGAGTGGCAGAGGGTGAGAATCAAAGCTTTGGGCAGCTTAGTGTGGTTGGCTCTGTCCCCTGACCAAAGGCAGGATTTCATTCTGGGAGAGCTGGATCTCACTGAGCTGATGGGAATACACAGCCTAAAAGTGATTAGATTTAGTCTCATCAGAAAAGCTAATTAAAATAACACATTTTGGGCAGCTAGAGGGGCTGGTTTGCTGCATGCTTTAATGTGGAACCAAGGCCAGAGCAGTTAGTGATGAAAGATGACTTTATCCTGGTACAGCTCTGGGGATCTCGTGTCCTCTCCTCCAGGGCCTGCAGCAAGCTGAGAGCCTGCAGCTGTTGCAGCAGCCTCATGTGCTGACTTTGGATCTAAAAGGGCATCTGCCTCAAAATTTGTAGGTGTGGGAGGGGAGAGTGGGATATGAGAGCTGTGAGAAATCTTTTCCAAAGTGTCAGAATCAAAACCAGATCTAAAATCTTATCCTGTGACCTAAAATATCTCACTTTAAGCAGCTGAGTAGCTTCCAGTTGTGTTTTCTGCTGTCAGATTGTTAAAGATCATTTGCCCTTTAACTTCCTGCACAAAATCAGTTCTGGCTGCCTAAAAGGCCTGACTGAACTCAGCAAATTATTTGGGACAGCAAGAATGGGAAACTTGAAGTTCCTTTGGTGCTTCAAAGCAAAAAAATGCTGCTCTTTGAATGCCAGTGTTCGTGTGGGATGTCAAGAAACTTTCACTGAAAAGTCTCTGTGTAAAATTCTGTTGGCACGGGCTCTGAGGTTGAGGAATTGCCTCAAACATGTGGCTGTAGGGTTTTTCTTGTTGTTTGTGGCGCAGGTTTAGGTTTATGTAAATTCCTCAGGAACTGGAGCTGGCTGATCAAAGGAAAGGAAAAACCTGAGCTCTGATTCCTGCCCGGGTGAATGCAAAATGTGAAACTTCATCCAAGCAGAGATTGAGAGAACTTGGTTACACAGGATAGAATTTGGTCCTGGGCTGTAGGAAATGCACTGAAGTTGTAGCCAAGCAGAAAACTTGACCCTCAATATATGGGCTATAAGTGTTCTAATAACTAGATAATTATAAAAAATAGGAAAGGTTTCCTGTTTGCTTAATCGGTTGCATCTATATCTAATCAGGGGAATTAATATTATCTTGTCTTGTAATTCCCCTTGAATAGCTGTGAAAATGCCATATTTTTTCCTATAAGATTGATTCATCACAGAAGGTTATAATTTTTCCAATGTAGGCTCTGTGAGGGTTGCTCAACAACTTGCCATGCTGTCAGATCAAAATGTGACTAAAACCAAATTACATATCAGACTGTTATTTAAGAGAGTGATGGCAATTGTAGGTTAAATTGTTTTAAACAGATTGTGCTTTTGTGATGTTAAAGCACATCATATGCTATCTTCTGGTTTACTCTCGGAAAGCGCTGATAGAAAAATCATAAAATGGGAAGGGAAGGTTTATAGGGCCAAGATAGAATCATTATAGGTGTTCAGTGAAATGATAAGGATTAGTCACTGACTGCTTTCTGTGTTTATTGGCTTGTTGCTTTTAGAACTGCCCTTTAATTATTACCCTAATTACCACTTTACCCTTAATTTGAAGTGATTTAAGGATTGATGCCAGCACACACCTCCTCCTCAGCCAAAATATCTCTGAGTACAGCAGAGCAGCGTGAGGAAATCCCTTCAGCTGCCAGCAAGTGAAAAATGTACCGGGAGAGCAACAAACAGGGTCTGAGGGTCCCTAAATCCAACTGGGTCCCCTAAAACCAGGGCTGGGATTTCCAAAACTGGGGCTGTGGTCCCCCTAAATCTGACTGGGGGGCCTCAAACTGGGCCCAGGGTCCCCCCAAACTGGGGCTGGAGTCTCTGAAAACCGGGGCTTGGGGGTCTTGCTAAACCCAAACGGGCCCCTCCCCAAAGTCGAGCTTGGGTACCCCTAAACCAGGCTGGGGAATCCTCCAGAACTGTGGCTGGGGTCCCCCCAAATGCAACTAGATCCCCTCAAACGGGGCCTGGGGTCCCTCTACGTCTGATTAGGTGTTCCTGAACCGGAGCAGGGTCCTCCTCAATCCGACCTAGTTCTCCAAACGGAGGCTGGAGGACCCCAAAACTAGAGCTGGGTCCCCAATATCTAAGTAGCGGTCCCCAAACCGGGGCAGGGTCCCCCTGAACTACACTTGGTCCCCCCAAACCGAGCCCTGGGGGTGCCCCCCTCGCTGTGGGGCCGTGAGGGGGTCCCGGAGCCGCCACGGCCGCGCATGCGCAGGCGGCGCTGCCCGCCAGGGGGCGTGGCCGCAGCCCCCGGCCCAGGAGGGAGGCGGCGGGAGCAAGATGGCGGCGCGAGTGCTGCTGCGGGGGAGCCTGGCGGGAGCGCCCGCCGTGCCGCGCCTGCGGCCCGGCGCCGGGCGGGCCCTCAGGTGAGCCCTGGGGGGGCGAGGGGGGCGGGACGGGGCCGCCGGGGGAGGCCGCACGCGGAGCCGGCGCCGCCCGAGCCACCCGGCGCCCCGCCGCGCAGAGCGTCCCCTTGCCAGGCTGGAAATGGCGCCCCGCTCTTGGGGCAGCGGCCGGGCCCGGGGCGGGGAGAGCGAGGCGGCGGGGTGTCCCTCAAGGTCACGGGCCGCAAGGCCGGCCCCTTCCTTCCCTCCTCCCAGTCCGCCCCTGGGTGGGAGCGTGGCCGCGCCGCTGACCCGCCGGGCGAGGCGGCCGCCGGTGCCCGGGCTCGGGGCAGCGAGAGCCGTTCCCTGCACCGCCGCCTCAGCCCCGCACGGACACCCCGCACGGAGCAGGCACCCCGCGGCTGTCGGGGCACCCAGCCGCCCTGTGCCCGGCGTTTAAATAGCTGGGTGCTCGCACCGAGCTGTCCCTGCACGGTCAGGGCGTGCGGCCGCTCCGCATCGCAACTCCTCCGAGCAACAGGGTGCGCAGCCGGCGGCGGATCCTGTCAGCGCGCACAGCCCAAAATCCGCGTTCGCCCAGGGCTGGGCTGCGTGGCTGCACATCCCCACATCTTCCTGCCTTCGCCTTTCACGGCCACTCGTAGGATCCCCCTGGGAGTCACGGCTGGTGTTTCCGCGTTCCCGTGGGAGCTGGGATCTGCGCCCCTCTCCCGGGCACACAGAGAGGTACATCCCACAAGTTTTGGGGTGCGGAGATTGGCATTTCTGTGTGCCCGAGGTGCTCGCACACACACACAGCTCCTGGGGCGCCTCCCAGGTGTAGGAAGCAGGCACAGGGTGATGGAAACACGGGAATTCCCAAGCTGCGATGGATCTACACGGTTTTTCCTCCCTTTCTTTGAAACAGGGAAAGCTGCTGCTTCAAGCCTCAGAGCAGGCAAGACTACAAGCATCCCTGCAAGCAGCTGTTCAGGGAATATGTTGTGAGGTTTTACCTGCATGTTTTGGGGTTATTTTAGTTTCAAATAAACTTTGTGTAGACCACAGATCAAAAACTGTCAAAGACAGACAAGTTTCTCTTACTCTTCCAGGCAGATTTGGATTACCACAAAATCTAAATATTGACCTGGTGTGTCCCACCCAGGTTATATTTTGTGCTGAAGCAGGAGCTAAGTGTAAAGAAGTGTTTTTTTTCCCTTACATTTTTAATCTAATGTAAGCAAGCTATTCAGTGTTAGCATTTGTGTTCAGAGCCCAACCTTTGCAGCAAGAAAGCAAAGCCCACAGTTAATATTTGCACCTTGAGAACTTGCTGCCAAAGACAAGTTGGTGCTCACAGCTGTTGAAAGACCTGAATTCAGTCCCTGTTCCTCCAGAGCTAATTTTGGGTACAGATTGCCCAAAAAATTGAGGTAGTGATCAGTTCAAGGCTTCTTGGTTCAGTGGTATTTTAGGATATTGATTAAAAATCAGGGCCTTGAATCTCAGTTTGGGTGCAGTGAACATCTGCTTTAATAAACTCAGCCTGTTACCTTTGTTCTGTGTGAGGTGTATATTTAGTTGTGATTTGTTAATCAGTGCTCATGAGGAGCTTTACAGCTGCTGGGGAAAAGATTTTCCATAAATGTAAAGTATTACTCATGTCATTGTTTTGAAAATGAACCATACCTCCAGTTTTAGTTGAACATTCAAGTCATGAGATTCTCCTAATAGCAAAGAAATTTGCTTTTCAGAGTTAGCCCTGTAGCTCCAGCTTACTCCTGCTGCTGCTGCTGATGTTCACAAAAAAGCATCAGAATTATTTCTCTTTCCTCTTCAAAGTTTGCTGCAAACAATGATCCTTGTAGATGAGTTTTCTAAGTATTACTTCTCTAACTTTGTTGAATAAAGAGGAGGGAGTGGTTTAAATTGAGAGTTTACAGCTCTGAGTATTGCAGGAGCGGGCTTGCCTTCTGCCTCCTGGAGCCAGTGAGGGCTTAATCTGAGGGAGCTTTTTAAAACAAAACTTGAATTTCTCAGGTGGGGTTCAGCCCTGTGCTCAGAGCTCAGAGAAAGCTCCACTCCAGCAGCAGCCTTATCGTGGAATGCCCTTCAAATGCCTGCCCTCAGGAATAGCTGCTTGGCTTCCAGCACGGCCACATGTCTGTGTGTGTGCCCAGAGCAAGGAAGGCACCTTTTTCAATAAACACACCAAGATTTGGACATTATTTCTTCCTGCTGAAGGTCATCTCAGCTGTGGTTTTTGTTTCTCTGCTGTGAAATACTTTCCCTCTCCTCCATCCTGCTCCCATGGGCAGAACCAGGTCATTATGTTCTTTTCTGACTCTGGGAATAAAAAGTGGATTGTTGTAAAAAACTGCTTTTGTGTAATACAGGTGTGTCCAGGGGGATATTTTCCCAAAGGAAATTGAGTTTTTATTTCCCTATTTTTTTTTTTCCTGGTAGAAAGCTTTGGGTTGGAGGTCCAGCTGTGTTCTGGATCCACAAGTCAGTAACTAAGGGTGAAAAGTTGACAT